TCTTTGATATGCTGAATCTAACCATGTATTTTGATTTTGGACATTGGACCATAATAGGTAAATTAAAAAAATTGAAGTTCTTAGACCACATTCTTTCTGTGTCAGAAACCTATGCTGTGTCAAATATTTAATCACAATCCAAATTCAGAGCTGTATCAAGCTTGAATGTTGTGTCCATACTTGCCCCAACTGTTCAGGGTTCGACCTCTGCGGTCGTATCAAGCTGCGCCCAGCGAAGCATTTTATTTTTAACTTATCTTGCCAAATAAGGTTGTTGTTATTTTATGAATGAAACGAGGTCATGAAACAGATGCGAAAATCGACGTTGATTGGATGTTTTAAGTAATGTGGACAACTCGTCCCCGAGACAAGTCGGACCGAATCCACTCAAACCGCCTTAGAAGACAAATTTGACCGTTTGTCAAATTTACTTAGGGTTTCATAAAATATTAGACTAACATGTCTAGCAGAGTCATTAATCTTTTGTTTTTGCATCGGGGTCTATTTAGGGGTATTTGGAAGGGCCTGAAGAAGGGAGGGGTTTACTATAGAATCCTATGGGATTTTATTTTTTTAAATTTTCAAATCACTATTTCTCGAAAACAGTACTGAAGTGATAGACACATGCAATCTTCAGTAATGAGAGCAGGACAATAAAAAAAATTAACCAAAATATAGGGTGAGTCCCTGGGGGTCATCCCAACGCCCTTCAATTAGAAAATGTACTTTTATCTTGTAAACCGTCGCGATCCCCACCCCTAAACCATAGGCGGATCCAGGGGGGGGGGGGGGGGGCCTGGGGGGCCCGGGCCCCTTTCGTGGGAAAAATTTGGTTGATTATATAGGGAATCACTGAAGCATGACTGGAGCGGGCCCCCCCTTAGGTCAGTCAACGGGCCCCCCCTTATGAAAAGTTCTGGATCCGCCACTGTAAACAATATATATACTTGTATGGGACAATAAAAGAAATCAAATGAAAATAAGTTGGGGGAGTCCCCGGTGTCGTCCCACCCCCTCCTGTTTGAGAACTTGGAAATGGTCGAGATCCCCACCCCTGAACCATATACCAGGGTATATTCATGTATGGGACAATAAAACAAATCAAATTAAATATAGGGGGAGTCCCTGGGGTCACCCCAACCCCTCCTGTTTGAGAACTTGGAAATGGTTGAGATCCCCACCCCTAAACCATATACATTCATGTATGGGACAATAAAACAAATCAAATGAAATTATATGGTGAGTCATTGGGGACACCCCACCCCCTCCTGTTTGAGAACTTGTAAACAGTCAAGATCCCCACTCCTAAACCATATATATTCATGTATGGGACAATATAACAAATCAAATGAAATATAGGGGGAGTCCCTGGGGACACCCCACCCCCTCCTGTTTGAGAACTTGTAAACGGTCGAGATCCCCTCCCCTAAACCATATATATTCATGTATGGGACAATATAACAAATCAAATGAAATATATGGGGAGTCCCTGGGGTCACCCTAACCCCTCCTGTTTGAGAACTTGGAAATGGTTGAGATCCCCACCCCTAAACCATATACATTCATGTATGGGACAATAAAACAAATCAAATGAAATATATGGGAAGTCCCTGGGGACATCCCCCCCCCCCTCCTGTTTGAGAACTTGTAAACAGTCAAGATCCTCACCACTAAACCATATATATTCATGTATGGGACAATATAACAAATCAAATGAAATATATGGGGAGTTCCTTGGGTCACCCCACCCCCTCCTGTTTGAGAACTTGGAAATGGTCGAGATCCCCACCCCTAAACAATATATATTCATGTATGGGACAATAAAAAAAATCAAATGAAATATAGGGGGAGTCCATGGGGACACCCCACCCCCTCTTGTTTGAGAACTTGTAAACAGTCAAGATCCCCACCCCTAAACCATATATATTCATGTATCGGACAATATGACTAATTAAATGAAATATTTGGGGAGTCCTTGGGGTCACCCACCCCCCTCCTGTTTGAGAACTTGGAAATGGTCGAGATCCCCACCCCTAAACCATATATATTCATGTATGGGACAAAATAACAAATCAAATGAAATATAGGGGAGTCCCTGGGGTCACCCCACCCCCTCCTGTTTGAGAACTTGTAAACGGTCGAGATACCCACACCTAAACCATATTTATTCCTGTTCATCATTTCAAAAAGATTTGAATTACATACAGGGTCAATCTCCTAGGTGTCACATATGCTTATCACTTTACTAGACCAAACCAATACGAACTGGACTTTGCCCAATGTCAGGAGACCATGGGAATGACGAATTATGGGGGCTTTGTTTGGGAGACTTTGTAACGGCATCCTGTTACAATTATTTCTTGTTTATTATAAAATTTTATTGATGCAAAAAATGAGTCTAGGTTAATTGAATTTACTTTTATTATTTATTGAATTATTTCTGGGCCTATAATAATTTTCATTTATGGCTCATTTTAAAGAAAACATATAAATCATTCAAGCAGTGTAAAGCCCGAGAATGTTTGACCAACTGTTTTATAATCACCTGTCATTTTATTCCAAACTTGGTATGGAGTAACATCATGCACTTGGGGGTTTAGATGGGGGTCATTTGCATTGATATATGAGTTGCTTTTGAAAACCTTGATTAAATATTAATTAATTTGCCTTAATAATCAATTCATTTAATGAACATAAATGTACAATATACAAATGTTTAATGTTTGTTCTTTCAAATCTTAAAAAGAAATTGAAGCAACACTGCCACAGTTTTCATAATTACGTTTGCCTTGGTTTTTGGTTAACTGCCTACAGCGCTTACAGTGCTTTGATTAAATATAGCCCCCCTTCAAGGTGGGCCTTAGATATTAACTCAAAATATCACATTTTATCTTTGTTTTTACATGTTTAAGAACCAAAAAAACAGACATAATCATGATAACACCAATTTTATTGAGGATAATCATATATATCATGTATACCAATTAAAGAAAATATAACAACCTTCCCCTCAGTCAGACTCTTTGAAAGACAGTCTACTGTTAAATGAGGCCAAATTGAGCAGAAATGGTAGAATTTTGATCTGAAGTATGTACTATCACGGTAAATTTGTATCTGAGGAGCAGAAGATTTCCCACAAATTTCTGTCTGAGTGCAGTGAGGAGCATTCCATTTCCTACAAATTTGTATCTAGGGAGCGTACGATTTCCAGCAAATTTGTATAATTGATAAATGACAGTTATCAATTAAAACTTTTGGAACTGATCAGGTACAGGTTCTTATTAAATTTACTTATTACATTGAGTTCCCAACAAATTGGGGGCCCAGTTAAGTGTGGATTGTTCTTATCTTGATAACCTCCATCCCACCCTCTCCAATATACAAACTAAGCCATGTGTACAAATTTACCACTGGTTACCTAAAAAATTTATCTCAGGAGACTTGGCTGTTCCAGTATAATTCCTCTATCTAGAGTAAGAGTTTCAACCCTCTTCACTTGCCTTTAGACATTAGTTCAACAATGGAATTCAAGTGTCCCACTGTCTTCTTCCTAGACCCTGTTTGACTGTTTACCATACTCGGAGGGGGAGACTACAGTTGAGACCAGACTTAAAAATAATTTTGTTTGTTATTGCCTGAGGACCCTAAAATTATTGAAGGTTTTCAATGAATATATGTATCTAATGACTCAGAACTTAGCAAGTTCAAAGTCATATTTTAATCAAGTATTTTCTAATGTCTCCTCAAAGAAAAATACTAAATATAAATTATGCAAAAAGTAAACAAATTCAGAAGATAAAAATCATTTAAATTTGATATACTAATTCAGATATTCCAATTGGTTGTGTTTTGGTTTTTTTTTTGGCATATCCAAAGGAGTTTCCTTAGGTAATATTGCATCAATCAATTTGTTTTCAGAAAATTTCTTTGATGTTTGTTCAAGTGAAATATAATGCTTGTTGAACACATTTTATCTGAGTTAAAAATGAAACAAACTGAAAGACCTTTGAACTTTACCATGCAGATAACAGCATTTAAATAAGAAAGTTGAATGATTTCAACTCTGACTCACAGATTCTGTTTCATTCTGCAAGAACTTCTATAGATATATCATCTCTATAAACATCATTGAAATGTTCACTTGAATCGGTTTTTTTTTTGTGGATAAGTTAAATATATCTGAATATAATGATAATTGAAATATATATATATCATGTAAAAAATATGTTTCATAATTAACATACTTGTACCAGGTTGACAATACAAATTGAACTATTGACACTAGAAAACATATCTTTACTCTTTATCTCAACTCATTACTTGAATAAGTCATAGAGATTGAGTGATTGATTTTTGTTGTTTAATGTCACTTTCAGCATTATTGGCCTGTTTTTACTGGTGGTTTCATCTGGATTGCCAGAAAGCTAGCAATCCTGGTCAATTAAGATTGGAGTCGAACTCACAACCTCATTGTTAACATGCTGGTGAAACAGTAGATGAACTACTTAGACCACTCAGCCGCCAAGGCACTTAACAGTTATTGATCTTTCAAATAGAGTCTGTAAAAACAGTGAATAAATGTAGACTTCTAAGAAACATTGTATTTGTCTGGTATACTGTGTTAGGACTTATTTCAATTAGTTTATATAGATAACTTGAAGGAGTCATTGCTTTTTTTATAGATATAAAGACATCTGTTAATGACTGTTTATCTGTGGTTGTAATTTACCCTAGCTGCAATTCTACATCTAAATTTACCGAAGATGTACATGTATGTAGACCCTACACTGCCTACAGATGGCAATACAAACTGCAGTCTTGTCACTCTTGTGATTCTGTTATAAAGCCCTGCAAATAACTCACCAAAAGTACTTGTTTATTATGCTATCGAGTATTGATAGATGTATAAATCATATTTTATTTTAGGTCCTATATATAACTTAAGAAATACTCACAAATATCAGTTCTCGGATATATATCAATCTTTTATTTCATTTTAGGCCCAACAGATAACTTGAAGGAAATACTCGTCAATACTATTGCACAAATACAGACTTCTAAATCACGTAAACTTGGTTACTTAAATGCCTTTGTTAAGTTCCTACAGAAATATAAGCAGGAAAAAATCACTGGATATTCAAAGAGAGATATTTTAAGCTGGTAAGTAATGAATGGTAACATCATTTTACAAAACTTTGAAGGGAGTCCACCACATTGATTTTTAGGGTTTAACTTTTTAGCAACCGTATGATATTATCCTAATCATAATTAATATTTGATGAAAAATTTTCAATGAAATTCATCAATGCCACACTGTTTAAATCTATTTCATAATATTTAATTGATCGGTAAGTAAGTAAGTAATTTTATTTAGAGTCGGGCATGAAATGTACAATTCAGCAATGAAATTCATCAATGCCACACTGTTTAAATCCTACTTCATAATATTTAATTGATCGGTAAGTAAGTAAGTAAGTAATTTTATTTAGAGTTGGGCATGATATGTACAATTCTACAAGGTAAACATGAGCTCTGTAGAGCTCTTAACCGACTTGATATTTAAAAACAAATAACAAATTATAAGCACATTTGACAAACTACACATACAAATAAAAACACATGCATAATATAATAGCTAAGCAAACATGCATAAATCAAAGCAAGCAAGCAAGCGAAAAAGAAAAGAAAAGCAAATTTTGCTTTAACTGTCACAAAGACAAAAGCTAAGCAAATAAATAAAACAAAAGCAAACAATAAACAGAACACAGGGCCAGAAGATTCCAGCTGTGAGACAGCAAAGTTATTGTCTACATGAGCTACAGAAGCAGTTTTCTGAAGAACACCATGCTGAAATAAAATGTTTGAACTGTTCCAAAGTTGAGAGGCTCCTTGCATGGTTTGGCAGGGAGTTCCACAACTTTGCTGTCTCAAAGCTAAAACTCCTTTTGCCATACCTTTTAGTTCTAGGTTGTGGTAAATCAACTGTGAGTTTATATCTAAAATTATATGAGTTATCTTTAAAATTTAATATATTGTGTTAGAACTCTGGACTGGATTTTGTCAAAATTTTGTAGGTTTCTAATGCCATGGTTCTCATGAGTCTGATTTTAAGTGTTGGTAGTTTAGATTGTTCAAGTAATTGTGCATATGAGTTATTGTACTCATTGTAGATGAATCTGAGCGCTCGTTCGGTGAATGTTTAACATTTGATGCTAAATTAATGCATGGGATCCCCAACATTCAAAAACCCTTTAAGGAAAATACTGTCCTTATGATTTATAAAAAAACATAATGAATAGAAAAAAATAGGAAGAAATATCATCACAAAGTAAAAAAAAATACTTTAAAATCAGACTGCTTCTTTCTTTGCAAAATCTATCAAAATGCTTATCAGTCATGTAAGGTAATGAACTAAAAATGTCCATATGGATTATAAAATTAACTTATATTAATGGTTTACTTTTATAAATTTTGACTTGGATGGAGAGTTGTCTCATTGGCACTCATACCACATCTTCTTATATCTATGTACATTTTACATGTTTATTTATTTTGAAAAAAAAAGAAATGTGACATTATGTAATCAGTTCAACCACAGGCCCAACAGCCCAGGCTTGTAAAAATGCTGTTGTGCCTGAAAAAATCATCTCTACAAGCCAATAGAATCTAACTGAAATTTTCATAAAATTCAGCTTTGGGCCTGTAGATTTTAAAGTTTACCGTGAAGACTGTGTAATGGTGTTTTAATAGCTTGAAGCGATAAGAATAATAATATTAAAATGCTGTTTGGATGGCAAAATATTTTTATGAATTGTCAAGTTTATATATACAGTCGACTCTCGTTATCTCGAGACCAGATAAATATTTAGAGATACCCGTGGTTTGATTCAAAACGAATACTGGAAGTTTGACAGACCAAGGGACACACCTCTTGTTTAGCTTGGTAAAGCTAAGATAAATAATGATGATTATGGGTAGGGGATCGATATTTTGGTCTAAGATCGATGTATCTGTATGTAATGGTGTTTTATTACATGTATTATAAATAAAAATTATATGATTTTTCGTCTGTAATCTATTTCTTTGTACAGTTACAATTTTTTCCTATGGTTTTACTTTAGCCGAGAGAATAATTCGATCTTATCGTGATTTAAAGTTGACAAAATTTTTCATTCTCGTATTCAAATATTTTTAGAAAAATTTAGATTTTTTTTCATTTTCTTTCATTTCAACGTTTATTTGCAAGAGAAAATACAAAATGATTAAAGACACTGATTGAGTAGTTTTGAGTTTATCACTAAGTCTTAATTACTACTTTATGCACAACCAAGCTCATTAATGTATGATTACAGTTAATTGTTTTTAAAACATTTTAAATAATTTTTCATAAACTAGAACAATGTATCACTAATTATTTATCATGGTGATCAAAGATAATCTTGGGTAAACACTCCTGGAAAAGGAGTGTCATAAATCAATACAGTGGTCAGTGACCGGAAATTTAATTACATGTGTATTGTCAGATGAACTCTTCTATCTATTTAAATCCCAGAGGTCATGTTTTGACAAATGTATATTAGTTCGAGATAAATGATGCAATTTGAATGCTTTTGTTGATCTTGGGACTGTAAACTTGGTTAGAGTCAACCGAAATTTTGACTCATCCAATTTCCACTCATTAGGAGTTGAAATACATATATTTATATGGAACAAATTTTGGGACCACGGGGAAAACTTCGACTCATCCAAAATTTCGAGTGAACCGAGTTCGAGACAAGGAGGGTTAACTGTAATTAAAAGAAAAGTCTGAAATAACCATTACCATGATTACAATTGCTAACATATATATTTGTAAATAATTCATTAATGCAAAAACTTTTCTCACTCATATTAAAATTTTTGTAAATACATATGTATACAGAAATCACATATTTCACTGCGAAAAATGAGGAGTTTGAACCTTGCTGTACATACAGGCTTTATCTAAACTTGATCTTTTATACTGAATGTGGATATTATATTTACTACAATTATATATACAACAATCATTCCTAAAAATAGGCCCAGCATAACAGTAGCAGTAAGCGGTCTTTGAATGTTTTTAAGTGTAGATATAAGGCTGATTACATTATTGTACATACAGTCAGGGGTACTACTTGTACAAGTAATCTTTATTTACTTGAAGAAGTAAATAAAATATACTTATATAAGTTAATTATAATGTTTGAATAATCTCCCCTTAATTTTCTAAAAAATTTACTTGTATAAGTAATTTTTTTTACAATCCCACAAAAATTCTCAAGTTTTGAGATGTAAAAACATGCCTTTAACAATTTTTCTCAGGTTAGCTCAATTTTTTTTATTAGAGTTCAATGTTTCATCTCATTAATTCAACAAAGAAACTGATTGCGCAAAGATCTTAAGTATTTGCGCAAGGCCTTCAAAAATTGCCCCTTGGGGGCTTGTAAATAAGCAGTGTTCTGAAGATAACAGACAAATGAGATTTTCATTGTCCATGACATTACACTTAAATGATTAGTAAAGACATCTGCAAAGGACAGACAATTAAAAATTCTACTAGAGCAAAGAAGTCCTAAGAATTCAAGAAAAGAAGATAGGGTGATTTTTTTACTTGCATAAGTAAAAAAAATCTGAATGTCTAAGGGACATAACTAAACCCAATTTTTTTTTACCTATACAAGTAAATAAAATACACTTGTATAAGTATCCTACAAATTTACTTATATAAGTATATTAATATTTACTTCTTCAAGTAAATAAAAATTACTTGTACAAGTAGTACCCCTGACTGACATATAAACTGATATTTAGCTTAAGAAATCCTTTCAGTACTGAGACTACAGTATTCATGGTTTAAACTTGACTGATTACATTTCACTTATGGATGCATATTTAGTTGTAAATTGAGTTACCATTTAAAGTCATGGCTTTGGATTGAAAATTCTCGATGCTAATTTTTCAGTTTGAGAATAAGTTTGTTTCATGAAGCAAAAGAAGTAAGAGCAGCGACCTTGAGAGTTTTACGATATTTTATACAAGATGGTGAAGCTATAGACTTGGTGTATGCATTACAGATAGATTATTTGATTGTAAGGTATGTAAATCTGTGTTTATCTATGAAAAAGTGATGAAGGGAATACATCAATGTGACATTAAGTAAACATCACAATAAAATAACATTACATCTGGAGATTAACATAGAGTTCAACAATGGTCAAGCTCTAAATCGTCTAAAGAAGTAGTGAATGACTTGAACAGAAACTATCAAAGGTCCAACAAATTCCATAAACACATGTGACTGGCATATGAACATATATATCAGGGTGAAGCAATTTATTTAAGCATCAATTTCTCCTCTTTTTTCTCCTGACAATTTGAATTAATAATGCATTTTCAATTTGAAAACAGAAAAAGTGGTTTATTGGGGTTAATAGTACCAGGAAGAATATGTTATGTATTCTTTGTTACACTAACAGGATTTGGTCAAGCTTTATAATTTAGGGTTGAAATATAAACACATTTTGGTGTTATGAAATTAATTTCTTAGATATAATATTAGTAAGTTATGATGTTCTGACAATTTATTTTGATTGGTAATGTATCACACTGCTTTTGGACTATATGTCTCCAAGGATACACTAACTAGTCAACAAATCGGTGTTTCAAGACTACTTAGAAGATATATTTAAGAAATAGTCAAAAGTCTTATCATTTTATAAAATGCACAATTATTTAAAATTTAAGTAAATCTAATATTTACCCCTTTACAGTTTTTCCTATGGGTATGATGGGTGTCTCTAATCAATGTAAATAAAAAAAAGTGCTTCTAATGCTGTACAATAGGCATCTATTCATCCACTTCATTTGAACTTTGGTGGATAGTTGTCTCATTGGTAATCATAACACATCTCCTTATTTTTATGTTTCTGTATATTAATTCCTACTTGTGTAATTTTCAGATCAGTGGATGTTTGTCTAGACAATGAGGTAGAAAGAATACATGCCATTAAATTGATAAGAAAAATAGCACATGTAGCACCTCAAAAACTGTCTTCATCTCTAGTGTATCCATTGGTTGCTATTGGTAATGATGGCAACCATGAAAGAGACAGAATGGTCAGAATATCGTTAGCTACAATCTGTGAAATAGGTAAATAGATTATGTACATGTATATGATATTGGGATTGTTCTAGAAATGTTTGGTGCTTTTGACAACTCTTGAAAGTATGTACATGTGCAACTCACTGAAAAGGACACAATACAAAAGCAATATCTGAGTAAAACCATATCAAGATGCACACTAATGTCATTTAGATCTAAATCTTGCTCAATATACAATTTTTAAGAGAATTTTTCAGATAAAAATCCATTGCATCATTTGAAAATAGCATTAACCAGGATATTCTGCTGAGAAAGAGCTGGGTGCTTTAAAAGGCTACTTAAAGGAAACATTATTTTTTCTGAATACATAAAGTTCTTTGAGAGAAAATACAATTTGACAATTTATCACACAAAATTATAAAAATAACTGTCACTATAATATTCATCCAGTTGTAAATATTCTATCCATATGATCATGATGATAGCGTTAAACTTTCTGCAATCCTTTCCAGACTTAAGTTTTCTTCAAACCACAATAGTTTTGTCAGATGATATCAACACAAACAAAGAAGATTTCATGTTATAAGTACAAACTTTTGGAAGGCTTTTGCAGTTTTTGATTAAAACATACAGTTCACAATGACCAAATAAATATCATTGCAAAAAAAAAAAAATTGAGTATTTGAAAGTTTGCTGATTTTCATACATCAGTCTTCAAGGTAAATGCGATTCACATATATGATTTGCAAGAACAGGTGGTAATATTAACTTCTCTTCTTTATGGCCACTGGTATAATGAAATGAATCTGAATTTATTTCTTTATTCCTCAAATATTAATATTTAATTACTGCTACATCAGATCATAAGAAACATTTAATGTTACCAGCTGTTAATTTACCTTTAATCATAATACATTCCACCATTGTGACAAGTTTATTATTGTGTTATCAGATTTAATATTGCTATTTCAGCTTTTCTGAACCCTGAGTTATTAGCATTATGTGGTGGTATATCAACAATCATACGAGCAGCATTAGACTGTCATCAGTATCCCAGGATCAACGAGTCACTTGTATCAACCATTTTATATTTGTTAAATCATCCTAGGACAAGACATCTGATTAAATTCAACACAGATTTAGAGGTAAAATAATAGGAAACTAGTACAAGATCATAGGATGTATCTTATAATACCACATACCAATAAAATAGCATTATGGACAATTTTTCAGAAGCCAAATGATTTCTTTCTTTTGCAAAAGATAAATGTATTGTACTTTAAATAATTTTAGTGTTAATGCTAAAACGCTGTTGGTGTTAGGTGTACCTGATTATTTCATTTATGTGTTATTTAAAGTGGATTAATGATAAATTGATACCATATGATTGTATTATTGGTGAAACATTATATGCCAATAAATATGACAATACAGTGTTGTTATCTCAATTTTAATACAACTGTGAAGGGGTGATCATAAGTATCACTTATTTTGCATGTGTAGAATGACAGAATACTCAGATAGCATCAATCATGGAGTTGATGCCTTAAGATTATAACCTTGTCCAGTAATAAAATGATTTATAACCATTTTTGCTTCCTGGTAATAACTAGTATTTGTCATACATGGTAGATTACATAGAGAATTATTTCTTTTTGTCATGTCCACCAATTTATTTTATAAGGTTGTTTTTTTATTTTTCAGCAATTGTTAGCTCCATTCACTGACTGTCATTATAGATTTAGTGCAGATTCTAGTGATGGATCTACTGGGTAGGTTTATATTGATTTTCTTTTTAACCGAATTTTCGAAGGAAAAATCGGTCATTGTGATTTGGGGATGTACGGTGGCCGGGCTGCTGCCAAACAGTGTCCGTTCATTAACATGAAAACTCTTTGACGAAATCCTTTCAAATTTAGATATGTTGTTTCCTGTGACTAAATAAAGGTCAAGTTCAATTTTCATTTGTAAGTATGTTTATTTCAATATAATATTAGCATTTGATATTATTAATCAGAAAACATATTTTGTTACCGGTACTCCTTTTTAGCCTATTTTTTAATAGTTTTTTTTTTTAATTTCATTATCATTTGTTGCATGCTCTGACCAAAAATATTCTTTTTGGTAATATTTGTCTGACCTTTATTCATCTGTTGATTTCAAATTTGGTTTGGTGTGCACATACATTTTTTAAATGCATGAAAAAGGGTTGTTTTCATAAATTGTTAAAAAATGATACACTGCTTTAAATATATTAAACTTTCAGACTTAGAAAGATTTAATATACTCATACATACATGTTAAAACACAATAACTTGCTTATATTGTGCAACATAACATGTACACTGATATTTTTTTAGCCAAAATAATGTTTTCACTCCTTTTTGTGATGAAATGTTTTTGGTGAGTCCCTATCCCCTTAATGTAGATAGGGTGTCTTCCTCCATCTTGGATTTTGAAATATCAGAAAACAATCAGTCTAGATCTTCAATAAAATGTGCAAATTTTGAGAGTAGTCGGTAATTCATGTGTAAGAATTTTCATTTCAATATAGAAAATGACATGTTTTATCATATTTATGGTTGTATTTTACAAAAAACAGAATACTTTTGTTTGATTCAATTTTTTCCAACTTTGTCACATAAGGGGAGGCAACTCAAATGTAAGATCAGTAATTCAGATAAAGTTACTTTTACAATAGAATGTGTTAGGAATTTACCTATTTTATTATGTAGCAAGAAAACGGGTCCCGTGACCCCATTTTTTTTCTTTTTCTTATCTGAAAGCATAATATTAGAGCTATCTTCTCATATTTTATCTCAAAATTCTATGGTGTAGTTTTCGTTTTATGGCATAAAATTGGGTTTTGCATGCATAATCTATACAAAAATCTGTCAATTTTGCACAACCTGTAGCGTGAAAATAAGCCCAGTGACCCATTCTTTTTATTATTTTTTGTACAAAAGCATGAAATAAACTACATTTTGGCAAATTATTAAAAAAATCTATGGATTATAATTTTGACACCCCATCTACCTTAACTCTGCCAAATCTTATGTTTGTTTTTTATTTTTAGAGAAGATAAAGAACATAGATTTGCCTCCAGTAAGATGGCTGTAATAGCTATAATGAAATCATGGCCAGGTTAGTAATGATCATTTAGACTAAAGAGTGCACATTATGTTTTACTGCTTTACTTCAGAAAGTTTTCTATACAGAATTTGTAATCAAACTGTTTAAAAAATGTACATTGGTGTGAGCATCTAAAAATGTACATTGGTGTGAGCATCTAAAAATGTACATTGGTGTGAGCATCTAAAAATGTACATTGGTGTGAGCATCTAAAAACGACCATGTAGGGTAGATATATATTATGAAATACAAGTTATATGTCATACATGTATAAAAAAGAAATAGTCTTTCAATTGATGTGCTTATTACCTGTTTTGAAATATTTTCTCAAAGATGTAAAAACAAGGTTAGCTTAAATATTTGCAGCTATACTTGCATCTTTTATATCACTATTTATCATGTGTCTGTCCATACCAGAATTAACATTAAATATATTGAGAACCAGTTTTATACAAAAATTATGAACATGAAAGTTCAGAAGAGTTTTGAATAATTTTTTGCAAAGATATGTGTATGCCGTATTGCTTTACTTTGTGAAAATTAACCAAATTGGAGTATTTTTTTCCATATAGGCTGCATGTATGTAAAAAATATGTTCAGCAGAGGCAACCATATTAAATAACAACAGCAGAGGCAACCATATTAAATAACAACAGCAGAGGCAACCATATTAAATAACAACAGCAGAGGCAACCATATTAAATAACAACAGCAGAGGCAACCATATTAAATAACAACAGCAGAGGCAACCATATTAAATAACAACAGCAGAGGCAACCATATTAAATAACAATTGACTTATGAATGTTTTCCCTTGTCAAATTTATGTTTGAAAGTGAGGAATCACATTTCAGTCAATGTTCCTGTTCTTAAGGTGAATTTATATTGAGATTGTCCATAATTTAACATAAGATTACATTGTAGGTATACTGAGATTTTGTCGACCTGATGGTAGTGGTTTACAATCTATTGTCGGAATTTTATATCTTCCCTTTCCTGAAATTAGGGTAAGTATTTATAAATCTATATACTTCTACTAGTAAATAAATTTTGAACTGAAAAGGCTATTGTAATCTGTAAGGATAATAAATGGCTTAGCAATGAATCATTGCACTGAAATTCTAGAATTATTTTCTTATCACAATGAAACCATAGTTAAGAGTAGTTGGTACAGTTGCACATTGTCTTATAATTTATATAATTTTGTGATTTGTTGTACAGCAAAAGAATGAAAATCACATAAAATATAAGTTGCATGCTAGTTTCAAGGAAAATAAGTCTCAACTCTCAAAATTTTCATACGACCGCAAAAAATTTTTTGGGATAGATAATGGTATGATGTCGTCATTGTCTGCATCGTCGTTGTCTGCGTTGTCGTCATCCAGAGACACATTGGTTTCTGGACAATAACTTTAGTTTAAGTGAATGGATCTCTATGAAATTTTTTAAGAAGGTTCAATACCACAAAAGGAAGGTTGGGATTGAATTTGGGGATGATTGTCCCAACCGTTGAGGAATAAGGGGTCCAAAAGGTGCCCAAAACAAGCATTTTTCTAGTTTCAGGATAATAACTTGTGTATAAGTATTTTGTTTGCTCTGAAATTGTACAACAATGTTTAATACCACAAGTAGAAGGTTGGGATTTATTTTAGGGGTTATGGGGCCAACAGTTTAGGAATAAAGGGCCAAAAAGGGGCCAAAAAGAAGCATTTTTCTAGTTTCAGACAATAACTTGTGTGTAAGTGTATGGATCTCTCTGACATTGTACCACAAGGTTCCATATCACAAAGGGAAGGCTAGGATTGAGTTTGGGGTAAATTGCCCAAATATGTAGGAATTAGGGGCCAAAAACAAGCATTTTTCTAGTTTCCAGACAATAACTTGTGTTTAAGTGTATGGATCTCTCTGAAATTGTACTACAAGGTTCCATACTACAAAGGAAAGGCTGGGATCGAGTTTTGGGGTTATTGCTCCAAGGGGGGTTTCAAAAAGTTGGGGGGGGGGGGGGGGGGGATTTTTTTCCAATTATTTTAGAGGATTCATATTTTTTTCAAAATTTTTCAAATTTTGAATTTTTGAAAAGTTTCAAGAAGAAATCTTCAATTGCACAGTATTGCACAATAGATTTGTAAGATCTTTGACCACATTTATTTTGTGTCAGAAATCTATATTATGTCAAAAATTTGATCACAATCCAAATTCAGACAGTATCAAGCTTGAATATTGTGTCCAAATTTGTACCAACTGTTCAGGGTTCGATCTCTGCAGTCGTATCATGCTGCGCTCAGCAAAGCATTTTATTGTGATTTGGCTAGATTATGAAAACTTTGAAAAACAATAGACATGTTTTGGGGGGATGAAATAGTTATATTGATATAATTTCAAAGCTCTTGTAAAAAACATAATTGAGAAAATGAAATGCTGGTAATGTCATTGACCTTCAAAATAAAATTGAAATTCCAAAATAACATATCGTAAAAGATCTACTTTCCTGTAATGTATGAAATTGTTTCCTTTTATAAAGTCATAAAATTCTATCATCAGTGTCAAATAATTCAAATTGCATTGCAAAGATGTGATAATGGGTTCATTATGAATTTATTGAATGGTATAGAATTTTTATATCACAGTAAAATTGCATTGAAAGGAGTTGACCATTTGTATAATGTTATAAAATTACTGATGAGGAACATAATTGAATTACTTTGAGAAGTTGACTTATTAATGTCAGAATGTATGTTACTAAATTAAAGGACTCAAATGACCAAAAAAAGATTGTCCAAATGAAGTAAAAAGCAATGATATTTAAAAAGCTAAAACACAATATAAAAATAAGGAGATGTGGTATGATTGCCAATGAGACAACTATCCACCAAAGTTCAAATGAAGCAGATGTAAGCAATTATAGGCAACCGTACGGCCTTCAACAATGAGAAAAACTCAGGTTTATTTGATGTTGGATGACCTGTTACACTAATGCACAGTAACATTATGTATTTTTCAATTATAAATCAGAAGCATTTTTTGAAATAATGCATTACTGTCGTATGTATTTGATATTTTACAGCAAGGAATATTGGATATTTTATATGATTTATTTCGACTACAAGTACCAGAATTTACAGAAAATTTCTCAGAGGCACTTCTCAGCGTTGGTGGGTTACTTAGATATATACATTTCCTATAAATACTAGTTAGATATCTAGATTGTGACGTACCATTTTACTTCCTGTTTTATTATGATATAGGGATAAAGGCAATATGCATCTACTACTTTTGTTTTATAAACAAATTAAAAATAATGTTTGCTGAGTTCAAAGTGCTGTTAGAATTTGCCTTGTTTTATTATACTCAGAGTAAACAGTCTAGAAATTGAGGACAATACTTTTACCTTTTCTTGAAACAAGTTACTTTTAAATGCTATTTTTTAAATGTTGATTTTAAATGATATACATGTATGTATAAAAACTATTGTTACTATTGTTTTGCTAGATCAATCAGTGATGAAGGATACATGGAGACTTACAGAAGGATTTGTTGCAGAGGAAGGAAAATCTTCACTTCCTCATATGGCTAAAATTAGGTAATGGTCTTAAAAGTGATGATAGTTTCTAGTAAAGAATTTATATAGCATTATCTAAAATTAGATCAAGAGGTATGGTAAGTCAGTGATCACAGTTTTTCTGGCTGAGCTATTTTTAACTGTTGTTGAAATTAAGTAAGAATATATGGAAACAGTCAGTAAAGAATGGATAATTTGTAAATATGATCTATTCCTGACAAGGATATGGAAATTGACACAATTGTTAGCATAAGTAAGGGACATTTTTACTACAATTGATGGATTAAATATTGGAAGGATGAATGTTACACCATATTTCAATATCACTTGAATGGATTTAATAAATTTTAACATTTGTGTTTATTTTGCAGACCTAATTTAGTAGAAAACCATTTAGCATTGATACTATTTGCCTGGATAGGAGCTGGCATTCTAGAGGTTAGTTTGCTTAAATCTTTGTAGAAAGATCTTAGAAAAAAGAAATCTTGTACACATTATTATGGTAAATTATGCAGGGAGGACATGGAAATATTTGAAAAATAATTGAAAATAATACACTAGTTTCACCCAGTACATGCTTGGACAAATTACAAATCATTGATATAAGTCTACATTAGTTTACATGAGAACTTTTTTTTATACTTTATAACCATATTACTGACTGAGATACTTGCATACTAATTCTAAAATGAAAAAAAGGTATGAGAATGCCCAATGACACAAAAAAAAATCATCTAAAGGTCAACATAGTCTTAAAAAATGAACAGGTATCTATACCACATGTCAAAACTCAAATGTTTTCACGTCTTTTTATTTTCTCAAATTGATATACATGCATGATATCTGAGTCAGTGCATCATACCTTATTGTTATAGTGGCTGTGTATGTTTGAATTTCTGAAATTGACTCAACATAATTCAATTTATTCATAATATTTGATCTTGAGTAAACCAGAGTGCCTAGGGTATATTGTGTCCTTTGACAAATCTTTCCCAAACTCTATCACATATTGATAGATTAATTGTATCTTCCATATCTTTAACCCCCTTTTTTCAGGAAGTATATACCAATATCATACACTCCTGGTTGAGGAAGAAAATAGATGTAAATGATTGATATATCTTGATATATTAAAATAATAAATTGTCTCCTATGATAATAAATTGTCTATTGTAATAATGAATTATCTACTATGATAATAAATTGTCTATTGTAATAATAAATTGTCTACTATGATAATAAATTGTCTATTGTAATAATGAATTGTCTACTATAGTAATAAATTGTCTATTGTAATAATAAATTGTCTATTTTAGGCTTTAGTTGAAGTTATAATCAGCAGTAGTACAAAGTTATCTATTAGGGCAACAATATTGTTAGGAGAACTGTTACATTTGGTAAGTATTCATACATGACCATCTTCAGCTGTACATTTAGTTATACCCTGTCTTAATCTAGTCCACATGTTCTTGCATCATGTGCATGTTGTCAGTTCAGTTCAAATGCAGTAATTTATTATTTCAAAAATGAATGTTGTTGAAAGCAAAATTCCTCAGCTGAATACATGAAATAATTATAAACCATTTTGCATGGATTTTTTTTACAGATTATTTTTTCTTGTTTTATCATGCGTTAGGCTTGCTGCTTCATTGATATATATATATATATATATATATATCAATAAAAAGAGGTATGGGTATATATGTCAATGAGACAGAAACCTAATGTCAAAAACTTCCAAAAGACATTTTTAGGGCAACATAAATTATTCAAATAATTGACAGGTGTCTATACAATTTGTCAATCTCTGAATTGGCCCAAGTCTATAAAAGTTGGGAATAAATTAAACAGAAAAAAATCAGAGATCTGCTGTCAACACCGGATTCTGCTAGCAAAAAAAATAAGATATGAATTGAGCAGTGAGCATAAGAATTGACATAGGATTACACTCTACTTTACATTATTACCACCTCTACTTTTTGTTCGCAGTGTAACGCGTCTGTCCGTCTGTCCAGTCTTGTTAGCACTCTCACGTGTACAATTCTTGCCAGATTTTTTTTTGAAACTTATATCATAGGTTTATATCAGCAATATCTTGGACGAGTTCGCAAATCAGTGCCCATCAATTATTTTTGAAAGAGTTATGCCCCTTGGACACATTAATTTTATGGAAAATTGCATCATTAGTGCTCTCATGTGTACAATTCTTGCCAGAATTTTATGAAACTGATATCATAGGTTTAATTTAGCAATGTCTTGGACGAGTTTGAAAATCAGTGCTGATCAATTAGTTTTAAAAGAGTTATGCCCCTTGGAAACATCAATTTAATAGAAAATTGCATTGTTAGCGCTCTCATGTGTTCAATTCTTGCCAGATTTTTATGAAACTTAAATCATGGGTTTATATTAGCAATGTCTTAGATGAATTTGAAAATCAGTGCTGATCAATAATTTGTAAAAGAGTTATGCCCCTTGAAAATATTAATTATATGAAAAATTGCCTTATGAGCACTCTAATGTGTACAATTCTTGCCAGATTTTTATGAAATTTATATTAAAGGTTTATATCATCAATGTACTTGAAGAGTTCAAAAATCAATGCCGATCAATTCTTTTTCAAAGAGTTATGCCCCTTGAAAAAATTGATTATATGGAAATTGCAATGTTATTGCTTTCATGTGTTCAATTCTGCCAGAATTTTATGAAACTTATATCATAGGTTACTTTGACCCTTTTGAAAATAAGTTCTTATCAAATATTTTGAACGAGTTATGCCCCTTGGAAATATAAATTATAATGGAAATCACATTGCATTTGCTCTGAAGCCTTCATTTCTCTTAACCCTTAGACTGCTACGTGCGACTATTGTCGTTCTGATAAAGCAGTCTGCTACTGCTATGCGCGACTATTGTCGTTTCCGTATCTCATTTATTTACACAGTTACCATGGAATGGGCGGAGTCAATATTTATGAGATTGCGGCAGTTTAGACTTGTATGGATTCTGATTGGTTAAAATTCGGCGTACTTTCGAGTTTCTTTTGACTTTAAATCAGGTATAAGCGATGAAACCGAAAGTGAAAAAAGTAACAAAATGGCGGAAATTGTTTGGAGTGATGACCAACACGTTCAGAAGTATTTCAATGATAACGATGAAACAACGGCGGCCAATTTAAATGATTTGGACGAGAACAGAAGATATAATAGATGGAAATAGAAACATTCTTGCAAAACTGCGAACAGAAGACTTTTAAAGCGGGAACCACGGGGATTATTCCCCAGACGATGTACTTTCGAAATGGATCACATGAAACAGGATTTGCGATGTTTATCATTGCGCCTTTCAACTGTGAATCAATATTGATCAAGGACATCGATAGATTCAAACATTATGTTTGTCAAGATTATTTATTGACGAAAGTTATATCAATGAACTTGTTGTTAAAACATATTTGTACATGGAAGTAAAAGTCGAAAGTCGGAAGGAAAAATACCGGAAAATAGTTGCATAAAAAAAAACGTTGGTCCGAGAAGAAACTTTTTTCTTTTGATAATCGCAATGGAACTAGTTCTTAAAAGAGATTTTTAACAATATTGGTTCAATTCTGAAGTCATGGATACCTTTGAAAAGTTTTTACATTGATGGATTCGCGTTAATAAAACATGAAAAAAAAATACCTTTGTTTACCTCTATTTGCACCTGTACAGGTAATAAATGACCAGAGACTCACACAAAAATAAAATAAATAAAAAATACAGAATATAACAATACTTTTTTATGTAACTTTTATTGATGAATATTCAATATTTACAAAGATATTGCAATTGTAAGTAAACATGTTTATTTCATCAGTGATTAAAATTTTATTCAGCAATACACAGAAGTACAATAGAAATGAATGCAGCAGTCTAAGGGTTAAGATATTAAAAAAAAGTTTTAAAGAACAAAAAAAAAGTGCTTTTTTAGTTAGAGACGTTGTACCTTGGATAGATAAAATATGTGCAACTTTATATAGTTTTGTCCCTTTATTTTCAGGCGAGTACATTATTACCACATGAATGTAGCTACCATAACCATTGTTTACCCTCTCTGTTGTCTATAGCTTCATCAATGGATGTACAGGCTGACCAAAGAAAGTAAGTGTACACGGGGCATTTATTCAATTTAGTTTTCAACTTTTATTTCAGCGGTGTTTTATATGCCAGTTCAAATATTTCCTTAAATTGATTTTTTAACTAACTGCATTTTATACATTTTTATGTATATTTTGTAGTAGAATGTTCAACTTATTTAAAGATTTGAATTACAGAACGAAAAAGTGTAATTTTGGATTAAAAGTTTCCACTGATTTAACAAATACTTAATTGTTAACAGTATAACTATCTAAGTCATAACAAGAAGAAAATACTAGTTACGGAACATCAGATGGGGTTAAGAAATTAAAAAGGAAAAGAAAAAGAAAATGATTTGTATTTTTTTGTACGAAGCCAATTGTCAAGTGGGAGGAGGAATATAAATATGTTTTCTTCTCATTCATGAGTGGTGTATAAAGCTTCTGTTCTGCCATTAGTCTACACTGAATACTATTTTGATATATTTTAGCCAAGCTCAGAAAGCAGTATATTACCTAGATAGATTTCATTCACTGAAGAAGAAAGGTGTGGTTCCATGTAGTTTATACCTTGACCAGCTAATTCAGTACAGCAGTGGAAAAAATGCTGGACATAAAAAACAGTTCCACTTACAAAAAGACAAGCTGTATGACTTATATTTGGCAAAGGTAATAAAATTTCCATTTCTTTGGACCAGTGAAGGTTTATCAAAGATATTTCACTAAGTCAATCTTGTTATATACTGTGGATTCATTTATTTTCGTGGGTACCAATTTTCGTGGATTAAGGAAAACTTACATGTTCGTGGATATCTAATTTCGTGGTTTTTGACAATGTCTGCATACAAGCCTATAGTAAATTTGCCATTCGTTGAACATTTAATTTCGTGGTTAACCTATAACCACGAAATCCACGAAAATTGGTATCTAACGAATAATAATGAATCCACAGTATTTGACTTGACTCGACCTCCATTTCATGTTTGAGTATAGTAGATTTTTGTGTATGTTCATTTTTCAGGACAAATTTATAATATATCAGTGAAAATTAATTTTACAATTCTGAGTAAAGTACAATATGGTCCCTACAACCTTAAAATCTCATAGAAATCATTAATAATATTTAGTTGTGATATTTCATCAACTACAAACCTCTGTCATTGTTCTACACACATTGTTATCTTGTGTATGACCCATATTTTATACATTTGTATTATGGTTACAATTTCACATGTAGGCTCATATCTCAAAAACCCATTATGGTATAAAAATTGTATTCACAGCTACAGTTCTCTTGTGTAGTTCAAAAATAATTCTGTTACATTTGGATCACCATGACCTACATTTTATTCTTGTACACCTTCAGTTATGGTCCACTTTTAGATCCATTTGTATCTCATTTGATCTGTATTTTGCCTTTTTCAAATACAACTGTTCACTTTTAACATACCAATTTTCTTCATTTTTATGAATACAAATGACATCAAGTACAATCTGCTTCCGCAAAATATATACCCCCAAAATTGTTGTATTGGCATAATAGATTTTATAAAAAGAACACTTTCTCGCAGAATTTTACCAACAGTTAAAAGAATGGTAAAATGGAGTAAAATTAAAACTTAAAGAAAAAATATAGTCAAAAGACAAATTATCTAGGTTTACTTACTCTCATTTTAAGATCAAAATGTTATATTTTAATATATTTTTACATTTACTTTAGTTTCCATCAGATGATATAATCACACAAGCGATGAGAGATTCTATGGTGGTAGGCACTAAGAATAATAACATGTGGAACTGGGATCTTATATCATCTATATTGAAGGTAAGATCCTGGATGCTGGTTCAATTGTGTATTGGTGATGAATATAATTTCTCTATATAATGTCAAATGTATAGAAATTCTTTATGTTGATACATGTCATGCATGTAAGATACTTAAAATAGCTTTCATAAATGTTAGATGCTTAAAAGGAAGACAACAAAGTTCATAAGTTCAAAAATAGCTTTAAAGGTTCAAGTTGCAAACTAAGAATAGAAAGACATCTACCGTAGAAAGGCTTGTATTGTCCGCGGTTTTATTCTCCAAAATTGGACCTTCCAGACGGGGTGCGGACTATAGAGTACAATAAGCAAGAAATAAGAGAAAAATTTCAATTTCGCGGTCGAGGTGGTTTGTTTACGTTCCGCCATCTTTGTTATTTCTATTGTAGAGGGCGCTCTTATCATTTTTCAAACTAATAATTTTAACTCATCCATATTAATAAGTTATTTCTATTCAATATCAAATTAATACTGATAAATATAAAAACTAAACCTTTCATTACAAATTTCTCGTTTCTTTTCAATGCATTGGTTGAAGTAAACTGGTATCTGCTCGATTGAAACAATACAAACATAGTGAAAAAGACAACCGTAAACCAGCTTAGAATTTGTAAACTACAAAACGAAATCGGTTATTGTTCGTTCCGTTTTGGTGTTTCATACTGACTCATATGGTTTGTATTAGCTTAAGACCCTTCAAACATTAATGTGATAGATATATTAAAGACTGTTTTACAAAAGGATGGAACTGTTTTACTTTCAAAGTCGTATTATAGTGATATCTGTTATGTACGGATTTCGACTCTCACCGGTTAATTTCTTCTTTTACACGTGCTTTTTAAACTTCCTGTTTAACCATACACAAGTTTCTAAATTGTTTTTTAAGTGAATTAAACTTATTTTAACAATCATGAAGCGTTCTAGAATCATTAACAAGCAGTTTCAGCTTCTGTTTGATGATGGAAAACAGGTTTTTCCAAGAAAATACCGCAAAGGATTTGAAATTACTGGAGTTTCATTAGACCTTTTCTAACAGTTACAAAAAGTTTTTTTACCTAAAATTTCGTGGGGAGAAGGGGGTGCGGACTATGTACCACTGCGAACTATACAAGCCTTTCTACGGTATTTAATTGATTTTTTTATCACAATGTAATGCTCTCAACATGATACTTGCATGGGGAATATGCATTGTGGCTGCAGTATTTCATTACAAATGTATAGTAATTGGTTATATTTTTTCTTTATAGTGGCCAGAAGAAAAGATGAAGAGGGTTGACGATCAGATTCAGTCAAGGTAAGGAGTAGGTTCACGAAGGGTTCATATTGGCCCTAAAATTCCATGAAATTCAACTTGAATAAAAAAAAAAATATTAATTTGAAGACAAAATATGTAAAAAAAAATCTGACGAATGCAAATTCAACAAGCTTTGACACATGCATGAGAACAATTATAATGTCATTATGACATCATAATTTTGCACTATAATAAAGAAAAATCATAGTTATGACTGATTTTTATATAAATTTTTATAGTTTTTGCTTGAATCAACATTGGCCACATACAGTACAAGGACCACCTTAATTTATTGTTAGCAATTTAGCTAAAAACTATGAAGATATCATACTTATGTCAATATTGTTAAAACGAACAGCAGACAACAAAAATGTCTTTATTTTCTAAATTTGCATATTTAAAATCGTAAATATAGGTTCTTACATATGGTATTACAAAGTTTGATTGTGAGGGCAAATTTAAGGCCTTTGTGGCTATATTCCTTTATAACAACTGTGTATTTTTTTCAAAATCATACAATCTCATATGGGAAATTTTTCTTCCATAGTACTCAATGGGATTGAATTGCCCCTTCTTATATTAGTTTGACACCATAATTGCTGCTTTATTCATATTTATTGATATATCCTTGTTACTATGCTGTTACAGTGTACAACTGCATAAAAACTTTAATCCAAATTTTCTTTTTTTAGGTTTATCAAACGTCTTGTATACTTCTTTAAACCAACAAATCATATATTTTCACGACAAGAACTGAAGAATGGGAAATCTAAAAAGATAGCACATGTAGGATGTCTATTAATAGATTTCCTTATATCTTGTGATCAGGTGAGTAGACTTCACATATTTTGTGAACTGACTCATTAAAAATTTATTAATGTAATATCTTCTTCTTTAGGGAGTCAGTAATTATTAATACATATAGACTATTTATATCAGACATTGTATTAGATAAATACTGAACCAAGTGAAGTCATTTCAAACATTACTAGAATCAAAACTAATTGTTTAGATACAATGTTTTTTTTCCCTTTCATTAACATTTAACAGATGCAAACATTAGAATGAAACAGTCTTCACCTTTAACTAATATATACCGATTAACCTTATGATAAAATTAATTTTAATTCACTAAGATCAGTTTTTATGTTGTTACAGGATGAGGCTCAGAAACAGGTTATAGACTTTCTAAATGACATAGGACAGTGTCTCTCAGAGGTAAGACTTTATTTTTGCTAATACACTTTGATTTACTTACATTAAAGGTCTGAGAATAAGACATTCTATATAAATTGCTTTCCTTGCATTGACAGTAGCAGTAGATTGATTGATTGATTGATTGTTGGTGTTTAATGCCACTTTCAGCACTATAGGCTATATCGTGGCAGCCAGTTTTTATCTGTGGAGGAAGCCAGAGTGCCTGGAAAAACCTGTCATCCTCGTCAATAAAGATTAGAGTCAGTAGCAGAAGAATATACTGTATGTAAAGCACATATATGTATCTGATTGAATTTAGTCTTCTCATATTTCATTGTCATGGAATTCAGCATCAAGCATGTCATATTAAAGAAAACATTTATATTTTGTTTAATTATACTGAATTATTAAATGAAAGACATGTTGTTTATATATATTGTAAATGTAAATTGTAGATGAAGAGAAAACATGTAGTTTTTATATTTGTAATAACAGATATCAAGTCATTATCTAGCTCCAGAATCTGTACTCAGTCCATCAAACATTCAGATAACATGTAGTTTTTATATTTGTAATAACAGATATCAAGTCATTATCTAGCTCCAGAATCTGTACTCAGTCCATCAAACATTCAGATAACATGAAGTTTTTATATTTCTAATAACAGATATCAAGTCATTATCTAGCTCCAGAATCTGTACTCAGTCTATCAAACATTCAGATAACATGTAGTTTTTATATTTGTAATAACAGATATCAAGTCATTATCTAGCTCCAGAATCTGTACTCAGTCCATCAAACATTCAGATAACATGAAGTTTTTATATTTGTAATAACAGATATCAAGTCATTATCTAGCTCCAGAATCTGTACTCAGTCCATCAAACATTCAGATAACATGTAGTTTTTATATTTCTGATAACAGATATCAAGTCATTATCTAGCTCCAGAATCTGTACTCAGTCCATCAAACATTCAGATAACATGTAGTTTTTATATTTCTGATAACAGATATCAAGTCATTATCTAGCTCCAGAATCTGTACTCAGTCCATCAAACATTCAGATAACATGTAGTTTTTATATTTCTGATAACAGATATCAAGTCATTATCTAGCTCCAGAATCTGTACTCAGTCCATCAAACATTCAGAAGACCTGTAGTCAGTATTATTTTTTAATGGTTGGTAGATTTAGCTGCTCTGTAAAAGGAGATAGATTGTTGGAAAAGACTTGCATATATCAGTAGTAAGTGCTTCATTTATTATAATTAGTCTGTGAGAAGTTGTTAGTCCTCAGGTTACCATATTACATGTATCTTGGCAATCAAGCAACAACGGTTTTATGACAAAATTTCAGATCTTGGTTTATATTTAAGTGGCTTCCATTAAATATTCTGTACTCAGTACATTACAGAATCTATTTTTCTTCCATAGTACAATTTTTTACTAATTATAAGTTTACTTCATCACAGTTGTCACATGGTAGTGTGCTGGTTTTTGAGTGTAAGAGATATTGGGTTTAGATCCTAGGCTGATCAATCCCATGACTCTAATATTGGTATATATGCTCTTTCTTTTCTAAACATGTAGTATTTAAAATTGTTGAGACTGGTGAGCTCCAAGTTGAGATAGTGTTTCAGCATGTGGTATTTCTTCTTCTGAAATGGTACATTTTGAGCTAGTATGTAAAAAAGATATCTATCCATTTCATCAAATTTATGGGGGGAAAAACAACAACTTGACAGTCTATTTATATAGTTAACTATTTCACGTCCTATGAATTTTACTACATGAAATCTGTGTGTATTTCAGTTTAATGGACATTGTCTCATCTGTGAATCAGGACAGTTATGTAAAGTTGACAGTATCAAGCCTTAATTACAGCAGGGATAACAATACAAGACATGTGTTAGCCAAGGCTCTTAGTTCTTCTATTGAGGTAATAATTTCTGAATCATGGCTCATAGATCATTTATAGAGGCAATATTATAAAAAACAACCTCATAGATCATCCACAGAGGTAATAATATCTTAATCAGGGTTCATATCTCATCCACAGAGGTATCAGCCACAGAGGTAATAATATCTTAACCAGGGCTCATATCTCATCCACAGAGGTAATAATATCTTAACCAGGGCTCATATCTCATCCACAGAGTTAATAATATCTTAACCAGGGCTCATATCTCATCCACAGAGGTATCAGCCACAGAGGTGATAATATCTTAACCAGGGCTCATGTCTCATCCACAGAGGTATCAGCCACAGAGGTAATAATATCTTAACCAGGGCTCATATCTCATCCACAGAGGTAATAATATCTTAACCAGGGCTCATATCTCATCCACAGAGGTTTCATCCACAGAGGTAATAATATCTTAACCAGGGATCATATCTCATTCAAAGAGGTATCAGCCACAGAGGTAATAATATTTTAACCAGGGCTCATATCTCATCCACAGAGGTAATATTATCTTAACCAGGGCTCATATCTCATCCACAGAGGTATCATCCACAGAGGTAATAATATCTTAACCAGGGCTCATATCTCATCCACAGAGGTATCATCCACAGAGGTAATAATATCTTAACCAGGGCTCATATCTCATCCACAGAGGTATCATCCACAGAGGTTATAATATCTTAACCAGGGCTCATATCTCATCCACAGAGGTATCATCCACAGAGTTAATAATATCTTAACCAGGGCTCATATTTCATCCACAGAGGTATCAGCCGTAGAGGTAATAATATCTTAACCACGGCTCATATCTCATCAACAGAGGTAATAATATCTTAATCAGGGCTCATATCTCATCAACAGAGGTAATGATATCTTAGTCAGGGTTCATCAACCATTCACAGCGGTAAACATATCTTGTTTATATCTTTATCAAATTCATAGATCATTTAGTGAGGTACTAATATCATATTCAAACCTCATAGATCATTTATTGAGGTAATAATATCATTTTAAACCTCATATGTAATCCATTAATTGAAAACAATGTAAAAAGTAATATAACAAAAATACCGAACTCCAAGGAAAATTCAAAACAGAAAGTCCATTCTCAAATAGCAAAATCAAAAGCTCAGACACATCAAACGACTGGAAAACAACTGTCATATTCCTGACTTGGTACAGGCATTTTCTTATGTAGAAAATGGTAGATCAAACCTAGTTTTATAGCTAGCTTAACCTCTCACTTGTATGGCAGTCATATAGAAATGGTAAGAATTTAGTCTTGACTTCTGTCATCACCATTTAAAAAGGCACACTACAATAAATGTAATGTCATTTTGTCTATATACATGATAAACACAATTTTTATTTCAGACATCAAGGCTATACACTACAAATTTTTTACGAGTATTACTAAGATCGCGTGTTCCAGGGTTTAGTACTTGGGGAATGGAGTTAATAGTCACTCAGCTGTATGACAAGTCAACAAGCACAGCAATGGCTGCTATAGCTCTTTTGGAAGAAGCATGTGAAGTTGATGTAAGTTCGGCATTTTCATTTCATATTTTGTTAGTATAGTCACTGAAAAAAAGTCATTTGAAAAAGTTACTGTATTTTATATGTGAGCTCTATTAAGCAGCAACTAAAAGCAGTAATTAAATATCAATTAGAAATTTACTTTTAGTCAAGTTAGAGTAAGCAATGTGTGTTTAATAAATTTTAAGGAATGCTCTTTATTGTTTATCCATGTGAGGTGAAAAATCTTTACCAAAGGTCTCAAATCATCCAGTGAATAAGTTCACAGTTACCAGTATCCGTATATATTTTTATGTTCTCTGTATTATAAAGATTATATCTATATATTATGTGACTTTTGTTCTTATTTTATTCAGTTAAGATTATGTGTACTTTTTTCATTATACATAAAAACTCTCTTGTCATAACTGAAATTATATGCATTTCTGTGTAAATATTTGTGACAAAATTTTGTTTTCACGAAATATGTTGAAATAGGTATGACTTAAATATATGTACAAACACAAAAGTTTCAATAATTAACCTTTTTCAGACATGTCTAAATTCACTTCTAAAGCTACGTCCATCATGTTTACATCTTGGTGATAAAGGAGTGTTGTTACTATGTAGACTGTTATCTACACCAAAAGGCTTTAAGACGTTATTGGCTGCTAACTATGTAACCAGTGAACTACTGAAATGGAGAAAGGTTTGATATAGTAGAATTCACAAACACTGAAAACAACAATGCCTATAAACTATAGAATTTAAAACACTAAAACAACAATGTCTATAAACTAGAAATAACACTAAAAACAATTATGTCTATAAACTGTAGAATTAACACTGAAGACAACAATAAAATTGACAATGGAAATGGGGAATGTGTCAAAGAGACAACAACCCGACCAAAGAGCAGAAAACAGCCCAAGGCCACCAATGGGTCTTCAACACAGCGAGAAAATCCTGCACCTGGAGGCGGGCTTCAGCTGGGCCCTAAACATAAACTGTAGAATTAATACTAAAAACAACAATGTCTTTAAACTAGAATTATCACTAAAACAATAAGGGCTATTCCAGAAAAAAATGTATGGGGGGGGTTGGAAGGCACTTTTTTTTAATGCCCATGACCCATACAATTTGATTTTTTTGGCGACCCATAACCCAAACAATTAAATAGAGGTTTGATACCACCACCCATCTAATTCAAACAAAAAAAAAAGAAAGTCAATACAGCAGTGTAAGAAATTGATATGGTCTACTTAAAAACTAGTATATTTTTTAAGTATGTATGTCTTAATGACTTTCAACACAACCATTGTAGAATTAGGATACTAAGGCTGAAAAATTTCAATCTTCAGATCTCCTTTTGTTCTTTTATATAATCTATATCAAAATATAAAGGGTAGATTCCAACTGTGGTATGGCTTTTTCAACTGTAAAAAGGGTTAGGAGTTTCTAAGTCAAAAATCCAGAAATCACCACTTTTGTGTAAAAATTCCCCTCCACCAAATTAACAAAAATTCCATGAAATAATTTACAAAGGCATTGCAGGGAATAGTATATCAAGAATTTTGAGCAAGATGGTATATTTCTTATAATTACAATATTCAAATCTAAAATAGTGGTCTATTATGAAATTTTTTTTCAATAAAATGAAGTTTTTTAAAACAAAAAATTCAAAGCTGGAATCCTTTTCATTAAAACATCATTTTCTTGCAGTTGAAAAGTAGAATAAATTTTTTGTGTATTTCAATAATCAGTAAAACTGATTTTAAAGAAAATCCATTTTAAGGGGAAATAACTCCACATAAAAAATAAAAAAACATAAAAATTTTCCGAGATTCATTACTGTTTCATCACCTTTTATAAAGCTATATTTTATTTTATTTATATACAAAAGCTTCCAAATCTTAATAAGTTAATGTACAACCACCCATCTAATTAAATTGTGGAGAAGAACAACTACCCACAAAATTACATTTGCTCCAACCACCACAACCCATGCTCCAACCACCACAACCCATGCAAAAAAAGATAAACTGCCGTCCAACCCTCCCATACATTTTTTTCTGGAATAGCCCTAATGTATATAACTGTAGAATTAACACGAAAACAATTATAAATAGACTATAGAATTGACACTGAAAACAACAATGTCTATAAACTGTAGAATTAACATTAAAAACAACAATGTCTATAAACTGTAGAATTAACACTGAAAACAACAATGTCTATAAACTAGAATTAACACTAAAAACAACAATGTCTATAAACTGTAGAATTAACACTGAAAACAGCATTGTCTATAAACTGTAGAATTAACACTGAAAACAAAAAGGTCTATAAACTGTTGAATTAACACTGAAAACAACAAGGTTAAACTGTAGAATTAACACTGAAAACAGCATTGTCTATAAACTGTAGAATTAACACTGAAAACAGCATTGTCTATAAACTGTAGAATTAACACTGAAAACAACAAGGTCTATAAACTGTAGAATTAACACTAAAAACAACAATGTCTATAAACTGTAGAAATAACACTAAAAACAACAATGTCTATAAACTGTAGAAATAACACTAAAAACAACAATGTCTATAAACTGTAGAATTGACACTAAAACAAGTGTCTATAAACTGAAGAATTAACACTAAAAACAACAATGTCTTAAAACTGAAGAATTAACACTAAAAACAACAATATCTATAAACTGTAGCCGCCAAAACACATAAATTTTATCTGAATACACAAACAACCAATTAAAAGTTTTTATACTAACAAAATGAAACATTTGTATTCGTATAGTGATTTATGTTGCACATTTTCCAGACGTATAATGCCAAATATGTGAACATAGTAGAAGAACGACTAAATGAAGCTTTGACAACGTATGAGAAAACGTATGAAGGATCATTTACCAGGAGATCTAGTCAATCGTAAGCAGTTATTTAGAAAAAGAAATAGAAAAATCATTTCAGTTGTAAGATAAAACAAACTTATTTAATTTACAATATTGATAAAATCTGTGAAATGTCTATTGCTATACCATTGAGTCTATTGACAATAGGTTGGTTCAATTTCTTATATGTTACAATATTAGTTCATGTATTAAACTTCCAGAAAATGAAATACATTGTGCCTTAAAACTATATTCTTTGTCAAATAAATTATTCACAGAAATTATTCTAATACATGTTATGTAAGAAAGCAATTTCCTAATTATTCCTGTTTGTTTAACAGAAGACCAAAGAAGGATGCTTTCCTCCCTGTACATTTGTATGGAGAGTTAGTACAACATAAAGATGGATTTGAACTTCTGAAACAACAGGTAAAGTTGGTCTTTAGTTGCAGTATTGTATAAAAATAAAACTTAGTGGATTTTACCAAATGCTATAAATCAAGTTTCACCAAATTATAAAAAATAGTGGTCTGATGGTCTGTATATATACAATTACGGTAGTCAAATTATTGCAAACCAAATGAAAGTTTTCCACAGAGTCATCTCCTCTTGGTCAAGGACAAGATGTGAAACAATTCATACAAGAAAACCATTGGCCTGATTTATGCTAAAACGGTGAAAAACAAAAAAAACTGACCACAACCAATGAAAACCACTGAATAACAGACTTTGGACAGGCGTATAAAGAATGTGACAGTGCTAAATATAAAAAAAAAGATGTGGTATGATTGCCAGTGAGACAACTCTCCACAAACATGTTTGTGAGCCTTTCTTAACATTTTTTGTTCTTTCAATATTCTGTTTCAAATCTACATGCTTTGATTTTGTGGACTGGCATACAGCTGTTTATTTGAAGTTGAAATGCCTACTAAAATTTCAGGAAGTTTATACTGGTAATTCAAGTTATTCTTTTTATGATGTTCTTCCCCTCTTCGAAAAATCAATTGCAGGCTCTTTGATATTGAATATAATATTTTTCTTAATTATTTTAAGGAGTACATTGAAGAATATTTTGAGTGTGTTAAATGCCAGTATTTAATAACAGACGAAGATGAGACCAAACTTAAGACTGCTTTATGGGTTGTGGTAAGTATAGAATGTTGTATGCTTTGATGACTTGACTCTTTTTATTTAACATTAAATTTTATAAAAATATTGGTGTGTAATACAAGGAACAAATTTAATACTATGAAAATGCCATTTTGGCTTTTTTTTATAACATGTAAATAAAGTAGAAAATCCTATCCTGTTTTTGATAATGGATTACATATGGTCAAATCAGTATTCTACTATATCTTTTAAATAGATATAAATAATGGAAAGTCATTACTTGTTTCCAGAAATTGCAAGAATAGTCAAATATTTCAATACTTTTCAGAACTTTGTTAAATTTTATATCTATAAATAAATGGGATGATTTAGTCTGGTCACTTCACTACAGTAAAAAAAAAGATGTATATAAAAATAAGGAGATGTGGTGTGATTGCCAATGAGACAAGTATCCACTAGAGTTAAAAGGAAGTGGTAGTAAGTAATTATAGGCCACTGTACAGCCTTCAACAATGAGAAAAACCTATACCGTATATTCGGCTATAAAAGGCCCTGACATGAAAAATGTGAAACAATTCAAACAAGAAAACTAACTGCTTAATTTATAACAAAACAATTTATGAAAAACAAATATGACAGGCATGAACCAAGGACAACAAATGTACTACATGCTCCTGACTTAGGACAGGCACATAAAGAATGTATAATTGCCAATGAGACAACTATTCATTAAAAACTAAAGGACAAAGATGTGAGCAATTACGGGTCACCAAATGGCCTTCCTTCACAATTCACATCAAATTTTACAAAAACAGCCATTTTACATTTTGTTTTTGATAAATTAAATATGAGCGATCGCCTCTTACACCCAAAATTATATTTGACTGACAACAAAATCTTTGCATAACACATCTAGTGCCAAATAGGTTTTGGATAAAGCCGTTTCTCAAACATAAAAATTAATTTAAAGATCTGAAATTTAGTTGCCTTATCATACCTATACTTTTTTATGCCCCCACCCGCCATAGTAGAGGGGGCATTAAGGTTTATTCTTGTCTGTCTGTTGGTATGTCCGTCTCCACGTCTGGAAATTGGTTTCCATTCCTCAACTTTAGTTTGCCTCAACCAAATGTTATGCAACTTATACACAATGCTTATAACCACAAGACATAGTTTGAATTTGGGTGGCGTCACTTTTACCGTTCTGGTTGTATGCCCCTTTATAAATGGAAAAATGCTGAAATTTTTCATTACCATTCTCTAACTTTAGTTTGCCTCAATCAAATGTTATGAAACTTATACACAATGCTTATTACCACAAAACGCAGATCAAGTTTGATTATGGGTGGTATTACTTTTACAGTTCTCTAGTTATGTCCCTTTATATTGCTATATTCCAGAGGGGAATCATCTGTGTCCTATGGGTACATTCTCCTTTTATCCATGATAAACAAAACTAAAATTTAGAATCCAGAAAAGCATGTAACGTTTTGAAATATTCTGTCCTTTACTAGATTATTGAAAACGTTTTGAGAGACTGGATGATTTTATTTTCAGGGTCACATAGGAACTTCTACATGGGGTATACAATGGTTGGAGGAGGAATGTTTACTACCTGAGATTATTAAGCTGGCAGAAGAGTGTGGTGTTTTCTCTTTAAGAGGGTAATTTATACAAAGTATTTTAAGTTATAGACAATGTATTTGATATGTTTTATCTCCTGGTTTGGATTAAATTTTATGATTTCGACTTTAAGTTTGCTGTCAGATGTATACAATTTTACAATGGTATGAAAAGAAATGAAGAATGACAAAAACAATTGAAATACTAAAGAAAACTTTACTTATGAATACACACGTCATAATGAAAAACACCAATGAAATGGTTGTTCCTTGATTTTTGTAGGTTTTTTTCATGTTACTTGTGGTTGTAGAAAAACCCTTCTTTTTGAATGAATAAATAAGTTCTAACAGTTAATTTATTTCAAACATTGCTGCTTAAACAAAAGTTATATGAACAGATAGAGTATTATAAAAAAAAATAGTAGGACATTATTAGAGATGACCATGTAAATTAGTTTGTGAAATTTCTTAAAACTGTGGTCTTGTAATCAGTATGAAGATACAAGAAAATAATATGTACTGTTAGCTATAAAAACATTATAAAATAGCCTTCCTTTGTCTACATAATTATGTAGATGTGAAATGCATGACAATAAAAGTTAAATATTAGGATCATACTATTACAATAGTAATATCTGGAAATGGTTTTCACATGGTAGCATGAATTATGAAAAAAATGTTTACATTTAACAATTATTTACATTACAGAACAGCATTTTATGTACTTGGTTTATTAGCCAGTACAAGAGAGGGTGCTCAACTGTTGAGTGAGTTAGGTTATGAATCCTGTTGGAGAACCAGAGAGGAAATGTGGCCGGTAGTTGAGGATAAGACAGAATTATTAGATTTCAATCATTTACATGACATTCAGGATGTTAAAAGTGAAAGTAATTATAGCATGGCTGGTAGCATACGAGATATAGATATTAATAAGATTCATTCCCCAAGTGCTTTATCATCGAGTCTGTTTTTTATTGAAGAGGAAGGGAAGAATGGTTGTGATTCAAAACAAAGCTGTGATAAAAACTCAAACTTTGACTCATCTGCCTACATTCCTCATAAGATAAACAATCGTGTCAGAACACTGCCACATGATTCTAGACGAGCTAATACATTACCATTACGTCCACAGTCAATTAGAAGTGTTGCTGTCCGTTCAGATAGGCTACGAAGTTCAAGTGATGATACAGATAAACGATTTATGGAGAAAAAACATGCCACTTTGCATTCTCAGGAAGATTTGATGGTAAAAGTTCAATCAGAACAAAAAACAAAACTTGTTCCTGAAAAACAGGCAACAATTGAACCAGATAAAGTTGCTACGGAGAGTAAAGAAAAATCAAATTTAGAACTTATTGGGATTTTAAAAGGGTCAAGACTTGATTCTGTAATGAGAGGTCGTAGTGCGACTGTTGGCTCAGTGCCTCCAAGTGAGAGTACTAAACAAGACAATGTAAACAATAGCAACAGTAAAAGTGCTGAAAATATTCACCGCCATAGTGGATCATTTAACGTGAATGTATCAGTCATACCTGTGATTAAATTACCTAGTATTGACTTAGAACATCAGGACAGTGTGGTTATAAATCGTTCACCGCCAACAACCATTCATATATCTGTAGAACCAGAGAAACCTGTTGTTTCAGTAAAAAAATGCAATTTTAGAATTGGTTCAGATGAGGAGGAGGATGAAGACCACAAAGTCCCAGAAAGGAAAAAAGACCATATAAAAGAAGCAAGTTTTAACTTGCCATCTTATTTAAAGGAATCAAAAGGCAACAGCAGTGATAGTTCAAAAACAAGTAAAAGTAGAACAGACAGTTTTAATACTGACTCTACAACCAGTGGAATAGGATCGTTAGAATCAGGAGCTCATTGTGGTGCATCTAGTGAAATAGCTTCATTAAGCCCTATAGCAAGTTCTTCATCATTAGAAAATATAATGAGACAAAGCTCTCAAGAAAAGTCAAGTATTCATCCGTCCATTAACAGAAGGAGATCATTAAACTTGAACCGTATTCCTAGTCTCAGAAAATCACAAGCTAGTCCTGCATATGGCATTTTACCTTCATCTCGAATGTCTGAAAATATATCTGCTGAAAATGCAGTTATGTATACAACTACCCAGGATGCATTAGGCTATTCAACATGGAGGTCATTACGGCGGCAAAGAACATACAGTTCCGATATGGAATCAGAATTAGGTATTGGAATGTTATATGGAGAGGATGTGCCTTCCAGTACACTTAGCAGGCAATCAAGCATAGAATCAAAGATGTCATTTGATCATTTAGCTCTCAAGGGATTAAGGTAACTTAAAAGACTTTGGGGGAACATCCATTGTAAAACAGTCACATGAAATACTCAGAAATAAGCATCTATACTTAATTTGTCAAAAGTCTTTTGATCAAATGATCAGTTACTCCGACTATTTTCAGTAGTATAGCTATGAAAACTGTTTTTAAAGGCACTATGTAACTCTAAAATAACTTGGAGTCATACACATCAAACAGATACAAATGTTAGTATATCAAAACAAACAAACAAAGTACTTATATTGAATAGATTTAGATGTTCATTTACTTAGATATATGTTTTCTTCACAAATTACAGCACATAATAAGTTTTAAACAGATGTCATAACAAAATAACAGCTTTTTGTTTGTTGTCAATCTCTAATTTTTAGCTTTGTTATATAATATATCTATTTCGAAAAATTGTAAATTAGTATATATTTGTCTATTATTTCATTCTCTTTATATCAAATTACCAATAACACTATAAACAGGCTATGCTCGTTTAGACTTGTGATGTATGTAAATTTTTAGCAGTAAATATAATGGAAATTTTCAACAAACAAGGTTTACTAAGGTATATATGAATGTTATTTTACAGTGCAACTATACCAAGAAACTCTAGTACTGTATCACTACAAGATCAAGATCGACCATCTAGTCCATTTTCTGTTTCACCGAAGGCCATATTGTTACAACGTAAACCCCATACAGGAAAGGCAGAGTTCCTAGGTCTTACATTACCTGTTGATATCAATATGATATTTGAGGTGAGAACTTATTGTAGCTCCTATTGTTTGTGTAATGTCATGTGAGACGAAACAGTTTGACCCTTCTATAATAAGTTTGACATGAACTTGTCACAGTAATTTTCAAAACACTAAAAAAAAAAACATGCATTTGATTGAAAATAACTCTCAAATTGATATGATAAACAGATTATGAATTTCCAGCATTTTTTATACGACCGCAAAAAAATTTTTGTGGTCGTATATTGGTATGACGTTGGCGTCGTCGTCGTCCGGCGTTGTCGTCGTCGTCGTTGTCGTCGTCCGGCGTCGTCCGAAGACACATTGGTTTTCGCACTCTAACTTTAGTTTAAGTGAATGGATCTTTATGAAATTTTACCACAAGGTTCAATACCACAAAAGGAAGGTTGGGATTTATTTTGGGGGTTATGGTAATAACAGTAAAGGAATTAGGGGCCAAAAAGGGGCCAAAAATAAGCATTTTTGTAACTTCCAGACATTACTTGTGTGTTAGTGTATGGATCTCTCTGACATTGTACCACAAGGTTCCATATCACTAAAGGAATGCTGGGATTGATTTTGGGGGTAATTGCCTCCAAATTTTAGGAATTAGGGGCCAAAAAAGGGGCAAAAAACAAGCATTTTTCTAGTTTCATGACAATAACTTGTGTTTAAGTGTATGGATCTTTCTGAAATTGTACGACAAGGTTCCATATCACAAAGGGAAAGCTGGGTTTGAGTTTGGGGGTAATTGCCCTAAACGTTTAGGAATTTGGGGCCAAAAAGGGGCCAAAAAACACATTTTTTTCTAGTTTCCAGACAATAACTTGTGTTCAAGTGTATGGATCTCTCTGAAATTGTACTGCAAGGTACCATACCACAAAGGGAAGGCTGGGATTGAGTTTGGGGGTGATGAATCATAATGGGGGTTCAAAAAATTTTGGGGGGGGATTTATTTTTTTTTTCCTTTTTTTTTCTTTTTTTCCTTTTTTGTTTCTTTTAAAATTTTCCATTTTAAGTTGGTTATTTCTGATTTATATTTAAAATCAAATAATAATGATATGGTAGGAGATACACACCAAACAGGATGTGTAAATTATTATATAATAAGTATTGTGCAATAGCAAGAAATTTTCAATTGCACAGTATTGCACAATAGCAAGAAATCTTCAATTGCACAGTATTGCGCAATAGCAAGAAATCTTCAATTGCACAGTATTGCGCAATAGCAAGAAATTTCCAATAGCACAATATTGCGCAATAGCAAGAAATTGTCAATTGTACAGTATTGCGCAATAGCAAGAAATATTTAATAGCACAGGATTGTGCAAAAGAAGATACTTCCTATAAATTGCTTATTTCTTGACCAATTTCAATGGGGTTTTATTCTTGATTTCATGGGGTTCTTTAATATGCTGAATATAACCGTGTATTTAGTTTTTGGATTTTGGGCCCCGTTTTTAAATTGGTCCACATTGAGGTCCAAAGGGTCCAAAATTAAACTTTGTTTGATTTCATCAAAAATTGAATTATTGGGGTTCTTTGATATGCCGAATCTAACTGTGTATTTAGATTCTTAAATTTTGGTTCCGTTTTCAAATTGGTCTACATTAAGGTCCAAAGGGTCCAAAATTAAACTTAGTTTGATTTTTTACAAAAATTGAATTCTTAGGGTTCTTTGATATGCTGAATCTAAACATGTATTTAGATTTTTGATTATGGGCCCAGTTTTCAAGTTGGTCCAAATCGGGGTCCAAAATTAAACTTTGTTTGATTTCAACAAAAATTGAATATATGGGGTTCTTTGATATGCTGAATCTAACCATGTATTTAGATTTTTGATTTTTGGGCCCCGTTATCAACTTTGTCCACATTGAGGTCAAAAGGGTCCAAAATTAAACTTTGTTTGATTTCATCAAAAATTGAATTATTGGGGTTCTTTGATATGCCGAATCTAACCGTGTATTTAGATTCTTAATTTTTGGTTCCGTTTTCAAATTGGTCTACATTAAGGTCCAAAGGGTTCAAAATTAAACTTAGTTTGATTTTAACAAAAATTGAATTCTTAGGGTTCTTTGATATGCTGAATCTAAACATGTATTTAGATTTTTGATTATGGGCCCAGTTTTCAAGTTGGTCCAAATCGGGGTCCAAAATTAAACTTTGTTTGATTTCAACAAAAATTGAATATATGGGGTTCTTTGATATGCTGAATCTAACCATGTATTTAGATTTTTGATTTTTGGGCCCCGTTATCAACTTTGTCCACATTGAGGTCAAAAGGGTCCGAAATTAATCTTTGTTTGATTTCATCAAAAATTGAATTCTTGGGGTTCTTTGATATGCTGAATCTAACCATGTATTTAGATTTTGGATATTGGACCATAATAGGTGAATGTCCAATTTAAAATTTTTAAGTTCTTAGACCACATTCAATCTGTGTTAGAAACCTATGCTGTGTCAAATATTTAATCACAATCCAAATCCAAAGCTGTATCAAGCTTGAATGTTGTGTCCATACTTCCCCCAACTGTTCAGGGTTCGACCTCTGCGGTCGTATCAAGCTGCGCCCTGCGGAGCATTTTATTACAGTATAAATTATTAACCACTCAGGACAGTATTAACTTTTTTACTACTTTGATTAAAGTGGACAAAGCTTTATATAGTGTTTTAAATGTAATATTATTTTACAGTTTCCAAGTTGTTTTTTGGGTTTTTTTTTTTTTAGACTCTTAATTAGAATAAAATTAGGCTCAGGAAAGTGTGTGTACCTGATAGGTAGAATGATAAACATCTTCTCAAATTTGTATCATACAACATTGTTTCAGCTGTTTTAGAAATTATTGCTGAAATGGCTGTTTTAAAAGGACTGATGGGTGTGTTTAACGACCTTGACTGGCTATATAGCCCTCACACAGTCGTTTTAAAAGGACTGTTCCAGGGTGACAGTTTTGTAATGTTGGATCTACAGTAATCTAAAACAGTTTATTAGTTATTAACTTGTTCCAGCGATACCTTGAAAACCTTCTTGCAATTTATCAACTTATATTGCCTACATACAAATGCTTCTTGTACAGTAATAAAATGTTCTTCAACAACAGCTGTTGACCTCAGACTTAGCCTCTGACTTTGCAAAACAATTCAGTCTTTTGGGTTTAACAAACAGCTGTTTTCACAAGAATCAAGTCAATAGATATATTGATTAATTTTTAGTGAAAATATATGAACTTTGATACCTTATAATGTAGGTTCACGAAGGAGAAGATAAAAGATCACATTCTGGGGTAGAAAGCAGAAAGTCATCAGGTTAGTTAATTTAATTAATTCACTAATTAATTAAACCTGGTCTATATGGATATTAATGCAAAATCACATTTTATGTATTGTAATAATCAGCTCTGCTTTTTTTATATTTCTCATAAATGATAACATTGAAATATTATCTTGCCTGCAAGTAAAGTATCAGAATATAGGAATTGTTATCCAGGGCTGAGACAGTAACTGCTTGAACAGATTTTATGAAGTTTAATACTGTATATTCATAATTATTTGTGGTGTGCTCATTTTCATAGGTATCTGAACAATTTTAAATGTTCAAAGAGATAATAACTTCCTATAGTCTTGTATGCTGAATTTATTAGAAATTTTCCTTATTCCACTAAATTGGTTCACACAAAAGTACATGAATATACAGCATTTCAAACAATAGAAGAGCTAGCTAACACATATTTTTGCATAGAGAGTTTATCTGACGTACATCCCTGGTCTTTGGCTTCATTTTCATATATCAGTGACTAACTAGTGTCAACTTAAGTTTTCATGATAAATAATTTTTACACTATAATTGGTTTGTAGAATTTTTATAAGGTAGACCTCATTCATATTTTTATTGATTATGTAGTATTTTCTGGATGCATTTAGAAAGAGACTCAATCCATTATTAAGTTATAATCAATTAAGCAGACAACTGTGAGCTTTTATCATACAATGACTTTGGCCATTTTGAGTAACAGAATGTATATTTATAAAGTTTTTTTAAATAAATTTTGTAGGTTTTGGTAGTGCATCACGTCACTCTTCAGTCACAACGTACGACACAGATGAACACGAGACAGCTATATGTATAGTTTGTCATCAGTTACGACACGATTACAATGCTCTCAAAGAACAAGATGATGGTAAGATATACATTTTTAATTACAGTTTATGTAAAAACAAAGGTACAAACATTGGAAATTGGAAGATTTGTGCCCTTTTGAGTTATTCATACAATTTTTTAACTTTAATATGTACAGCAGTATTACAAATGTTTACTTTCATGAAAATTAATGTTTTAAAGTAGGTGGTACACACAGTAGATTTTTTTCACAAAAAATTGAAAATTTATTCTGTTTATTTTGATATTCTGAAATTATCAGATTATCAGATTTACACACACAAAGTGAAATTATTGTCAGTATCATTTGAATTAATTCCAGCTGTAGGTGAAGAAATAGAAGCAGCAAGGGCTGAAGTTGACGAAACAAAATCTTTATCCTCCATCTACAAACAAACGAGAACGAGGCTGGACAGTTGTAACGAGCCATCATCAGCGACACCTGGTAGTGTTACTAGTATGACAAGTAATGAATCATGTAAGTTCTCTGTAATGCTACACAATGGTTGATAGATTTAAGGACAATACTGGTCATTTGAAACTCCTCTGTAATGCTACTAAATCGTGTTTAGTACTTCTCTGCAGTTCTACACCATGTTTAGTAGATTAAAGGAGGATACTGGTTATTTGAAAATATGTTACTTGATTGTTTTATTCATATTTTTTATGATCCAATAGGGGACAATGTCTGGTTCAAAGACTTGCGTTGAAAGTAAGACTTCATTCCACAGCAAAAATATCTAAAATTCTGATTTTGTTTTTAATGCACCACTAACTATAGAAAGAGGATATTGTTTTCAAGTCTTTTCATTTTTCTGTCAATTTTTCCACCTTTTTATACGACCGCATTTGCGGTCGTATATTGGTATGACGTTGGCGTCGTCGTCGTCGTCTTCGTCGTCCGGCGTCGTCCGAAGACACATTGGTTTTCGCACTCTAACTTTAGTTTAAGTGAATGGATCTCTATGAAATTTTACCATAAGGTTCAATACCACAAAAGGAAGGTTGGGATTGATTTTGGGGGTTATGGTACCAACAGTTAAGGAATAAGGGGCCAAAAAGGGGCCAAAAATAAGCATTTTTGTAACTTCCAGACATAACTTGTGTGTTAGTGTATGGATCTCTCTGACATTGTACCACAAGGTTCCATATCACAAAGGGAATGCTGGGATTGATTTTGGGGGTAATTGTTTCAAAATATTAGGAATTAGGGGCCAAAAAAGGGGCAAAAAACAAGCATTTTTCTAGTTTCATGACAATAACTTGTGTGAAAGTGTATGGATCTTTCTGAAATTGTACTACAAGGTTTCATATCTCAAAGGGAAAGCTGGAATTGAGTTTGGGGGTAATTAATCCCCGAAACGTTTAGGAATAAGGGGCCAAAAAGGGGCCAAAAATAAGCATTTTTCTAGTTTCCAGACAATAACTTGTGTTCAAGTGTATGGATCTCTCTGAAATTGTACCACAAGGTTCCCTATCACACAGGGAATGCTGGGATTGATTTTGGGGGTAATTGCCTCAAAATTTTAGGAATTAGGGGCCAAAAAAGGGGCAAAAAACAAGCATTTTTCTAGTTTCATGACAATAACTTGTGTGTAAGTGTTTGGATATTTCTGAAATTGTACTACAAGGTTCCATATCACAAAGGGAAAGCTGGAATTGAGTTTGGGGGTAATTGCCCATAACGTTTAGGAATTGGGGGCCAAAAAGGGGCCAAAAAACACATTTTTCTAGTTTCCAGACAATAATTTGTGTTCAAGTGTATGGATCTCTCTGAAATTGTACTGCAAAGTACCATATTACAAAGGGAAGGCTGGGATTGAGTTTGGGGGTGATGGAATCATAAGGGGGTTCAAAAAATTTGGGGGGGGGGGGATTTTTTTTTTTTTTCCTTTTTTTTTTCTTTTAAAATTTTCTATTTTAAGTTGGTTATTTCTGATTTATATTTAAAAGCAAATAATAATGATATGGTAGGAGATACACACTAAACAGGATGTGTAAATTATTATATAATAAGTATTGTGCAAAAGCAAGAAATTTTCAATTGCACAGTATTGCGCAATAGCAAGAAATCTTCAATTGCACAGTATTGCACAATAGCAAGAAATATCCAATAGCACAATATTGCGCAATAGCAAGAAATTGTCAATTGTGCAGTATTGCGCAATAGCAAGAAATATTCAATTGCACAGTATTTTGCAAAAGAAGATACTTCGTATAAATTGCTTATTTCTTGACCAATTTCAATGGGGTTTTATTCTTGAATTCTTTGGGTTCTTTAATATGCTGAATCTAACCGTGTATTAAGTTTTTGGATTTTGGGCCCCGTTTTTAAATTGGTCCACATTGAGGTCCAAAGGGTCCAAAATTAAACTTTGTTTGATTTCATCAAAAATTGAATTATTGGGGTTCTTTGATATTCCGAATCTAACCGTGTATTTAGATTCTTAATTTTTGGTTCCGTTTTCAAATTGGTCTACATTAAGGTCCAAAGGGTCCAAAATTAAACTAAGTTTGATTTTAACAAAAATTGGATTCTTAGGGTTCTTTGATATGCTGAATCTAAACATGTATTTAGATTTTTGATTATGGGCCCATTTTTCAAGTTGGTCCAAATCGGGGTCCAAAATTAAACTTTGTTTGATTTCAACAAAAATTGAATATATGGGGTTCTTTGATATGCTGAATCTAACCATGTATTTAGATTTTTGATTTTTGGGCCCCGTTATCAACTTTGTCCACATTGAGGTCAAAAGGGTCCAAAATGAAACTTTGTTTGATTTCATCAAAAATTGAATTCTTGGGGTTCTTTGATATGCTGAATCTAACCATGTATTTAGATTTTGGATATTGGACCATAATAGGTGAATGTCCAATTTAAAATTTTTAAGTTCTTAGACCACATTCATTCTGTGTCAGAAACCTATGCTGTGTCAAATATTTAATCACAATCCAAATTCAGAGCTGTATCAAGCTTGAATGATGTGTCCATACTTGCCCCAACTGTTCAGGGTTCGACCTCTGCGGTCATATCAAGCTGCGCCCTGCGGAGCATTTTATTTCCTTTAGTCAGTCCCATATCATATTAACATTTTGATTAAAGTTAGGTTGTAAACCATATAATTGTGATCACATCAGCTTGAAACTCAGTACAAATGTTCCTTATAATGGGGACTTTTTGAAATTTATGCTTAGTTAAGGTTTGACTCTGGTCTCTTGGTTCACTGAACTGAAACGTGATCGTTTTAGCTGGAAATATTCTTGTTTTGAATATAACATAAACATTTTAATGTTGTACAACCTGCTGAATTACTACTAAGTTTGAAGACTTTAAGAATAAATGTATTATTTTAGCAACTAAGAAGATAGACTTTGAAAGTGTCAATGGCAGAACAATGTTACGTAAAGAAGTGAAGAAGTTTGTTGTCAGTCTCAGTAGTTTTATCAATGTCAAGTCTTCAGAACAGGGTTTGTTAACGTAAGTATGATAATCAAACTTACTTTAAAATGTTTAAGATATAAAAAATATTTTGATTTATTAATTTCTTTGTCTTAAAAGCTTTTTGAAAATTTTATTGGATACTACCGTTAATGTTTAACTTTAGACAGAATTCTCTATACTAAATGTTTAAATTGACCTTTGTAAGTTTAATGTAGATCATCTATTACCATGTGGCAATTGTGTATATCAAATTCAACAAAGATGTGCAGGATGTTTAGACTTCTTTCTGATAAGTACATTGTTAATAGTCTTCTTATTTAAGAGGAAAGAACAATTACATGTAAGTTTGAATACTAGGACTCCTTCTATCAAGGTGCCATCACCCTTGTTTACCTTTAATTGTCAAATTATCATATGACTTTGAAGTTTTTCTTTCATCATATAATTTTGTATTTCAGGTTAAAGCAGAAAGTGCCGAAAGCTTTTCAGGACTTATGTTTCTTCTCAGAGGTTATACACATTTTAGGAACTTGTTCTTTTAGATTGACTGCCAGAAGATTTATACAGGAATTGTTTGATGAGTTTGATATGGATCAGGTATGTTCTGAAATAGAATACGGTGCAGTCTGAAGTATTCGTGCACCGAAATCTTTTGGATTCACTTTGGTAATCTCATAAAACCAATAATCGGATAATATTGTGTGAACAAATTCACGACATACTTTAATTTCATGAATTTTTCTTTATGTATGGTTTCACCCTTAGGATTTAATGTAATGTGTTTCCAAAATTAGGGGAAACCCCTGTTTTGACAGTTCTTCAAATGTCCGGTGATTTTGTGCATGCTTTCTAAAAATAGCTAATTTTGAATACAGGAAAGATTTTATACTACGAAGTATAGTTCAGTTTGAACCAAACAGACTGCCAAGGATGCGGAGCAAAATTTGTTTGTAAAACCAATTTTTATCTGATAATGTTATTTTTTTTATGGAAAATGGCTAAATATTGTTAATCATGTGATTGAAATTATAAACTTATGCTTGAATTTATCAATTTTAATCTTAATTGGCCCTATGGAAGACTAAAACAATAACAAGAACGATTCTGTTTGTGTTACATTGTGGATATGACAAAATCAGGTAATGTGCGATATCACCAGCCATGCGGACACAGGGGATTCCATTGTAAGTGCTGTTTACCACCCCATTTCTTCGTGTCTACATCTTAATATTGATATCTGAACTCTGTATTACTCTACTAACTTTTTAAAAGCAATTGTCTGTTCACTGTATCTGTGTGTTGTTCTTTTACAATAAGTTGTTGGTGAAAGACAATTAGACATCTCTCATCTTTTTTGAATATTGTGGGCATTTTGTCTGTTGTAATTATAATACTCCAGATACAGATATTTGAAACATTATTGACTAATATTTTTTAATTGATATAACATTTTGACATGCAGTTAAAATTAACTTTGCAGATATTGCAAGAGGCTAAATCAATACTTGGTGTAAATGCAGAAATACATGACCCAAGGAGAGTTGGGAGACAAGAAAACTTGGATAGTGTTTGGGAAAAAGATTTCTAATTAAAACATTTACATGAACCAAGTAGGAATGGTGAAAAGAAAACAGTGGCTGAGAAAATATTTCAGAACTACAAGATAAAACTAACCAAAGAAATCACCACAATCTCTGATAAAAAGATGTTTAAACTACAAATCAATTGCTATGAATTACCTACTGATTACTGTCCTGACAATTCAGAGTTTGTTCTTCAATTTAAAAATAATTCTGTGCATTTACTTTTTGGGACTGTTGAAAAGTTGAGAAAAATGCACTTGATTAGTTAATGCAATTGCAGGAAATGCTACATACAGATAATGCTTTCAAATATAGAATGTCAGCTCTAATCAATACGATACTCATTCTCTGGCATTTTTTTCAACATAATAAAACCTGCAAAAAAAATTCTCAATTTAATGTAAAATTTAAAATACCAGGACTGGTGGTCATTTTAGATTTAGAATATCAAAAGATAAATTTCACCACAAAATGGATACAATCACGAATGATTGTTGTCTGTCATCATAAAATTTATCTTTTATACATTACAGTGTTAAATCTGTATAACCAGGTTACATGTTAAAAGGGAAAGTTATGTTACTTGGAGACTTATAGTTTGTATATCTCTTTAAGCTGGTATAACATGGAAATCTAAAGAAATGTTTCTATTAGAAGGCCAGTGTGTTATTTTTTTTTGTGATATCTTCAGGAGATTTGTATGAAGAGACAAATTCATTATTGTGATATTTTGTACAGACAATATTTATTGTAATAAATGCCAAAAAGTTTTTATTGAATGAAATATGTAAATATTTATTTAGCAATGAGATGAACTTTGTTATGAACAGTTTTTTCGAGATTTTATACAAGATTGTGATTAATTTAAAAAGTTAATCAATTTTAACATGTAAAGGGTTAAATAAGGAGCCAAGCTTCAAGTCAGTTACATTTTAAGCAATAATGAGTAATACAATGGTATGTCTTGTAATTTGTGTATAATCATTCCACGATAAGTTCTGTTTTTTTTTTATTGCTATTTAATATATGACTAGAAGTGAGGCTTTTACAAAAATTTATTATTAATGCAGCTTCCGTTTTAGCTTAATATTGAGATAACTATAAACTTTACACCTATGTTTCTTATGATCAAATCCTTGTTCTTTTCAGCAGCCGTTTAAACAAAAATGATACTTATTAAAATCATATTTCTGTGGCACGATCTTGGATAAGGAAAAATTATCATATTTGTTTTGATATCCTTTGGTCTTTGGTCAGACCACACATCCTGATTTTTAAATTAATATTAGCAGTTGGCAGGTTTTTTAAGTTGTGTAACAAACTGTACTGATTTGATTGCAATAAATTTTTTTTACATAATATTGAAATTTTAAATAATGTAATTCATTCTCAAATCTTGTAATATATCCCAGCCACAAATGTTTACATCACACATCCATTGAAGTCATTGCCTACTGTGTTTAGGTTTTACATAGCACTTTGTTTTAAAGGTTTAAATATCTAGTCAAATATTACATGTATTTTTCTTGGTGTATATGTGCAGATATTTATATATGTTTTTGATACATAGGCTGACAGTATGTGCAGATACATCAATTACATTTACTTAAAAAACTGAATTCAAAAGACCATTTGTTTTAATCTTGCCAGCTTGTATGTATCAGAAAGGGAAAATGAAGCCATTTTGTCTGAATTTTTTTTTGCAGCAGTTAAGTTTAAGGTAAATGAACTTAAAGCTTATAAAATCCTTCTGTTATTTCAACCTGTAACAGGTACTGTAATTATTCAAGAAACATTGTTTTGCAGTTTCAAATAGGTGAATTTAAAAGTGCATTATTTTATCTAGTAGTTAACAGTTGAGATAGGTAGAGGTAAAGACATGCTGTTCATGTCAAATTTAACATTTAAGACTGATATACAGACCATTCATTTTGATCTTTCAACAGCTATATAAAAGGGTTTCAGTATGAGATTATGATAATATATCCATAAAGCAAATGAATAAAAGTATATTTGGTATTTACTTCATCCTAAAACTGCATAAATTGATAGTGTTAAGAATTAGGGGCATTAGATTAAGAAAGGTTAGTGAACTGGACAGATTTATGAAAGTTCTCCATATTTTCACAATAAAGGGTCAAAGAATAATTATCAAACATAGTCATTTTATATGTTGTCTTCTTCTTACTTTCTCAGTTCCTAGTTAAGGTATGATAAACAAATTATTTATACTTTGAAAAGTTAGTAGACATATCTTTATCTCATTAAAGTTTCAATGGGTTTCTATTCTTTTTGGGGATGAATTTGATTTGTTGAAATACAATACATTGTAATCTAACATTTATAAATGAATTTGGTGATCATCATTTTCGTAGTTAAATTTCTTCTCCCCTCACAATAGTAATAGTTAAAGGGAGCAAGACTTTCATGGTACTATATGGCAGGAAATACCTTTCTCATACCAACTATCATTTGTTATTCAAATTTTTTTGTAGACCTTGATTTACCATTACACTATTCAAAATAAAAGCAGGTGAGACATAAACTGGTAGTGTGTCAACTCTTGTTAAATAATTTGAATGTTTGACATAATAGCCTACATTGTATTGTAATTTATATTTTTTTTCATGTGCACATTTCTAATCAACTGTATGTATCATAATAAGCAGAGGTATGTTAAACATTAAATGTATGTCCTAATTTGTTGAAAGTACAGTTATATTTTATTATGATTTGTTGATATTTTGTATATTTTTTAAAGAAGTAAGATAATGATATATATGATACTTACGGAGAACTAATAGGGCTGTGACAATTTATCCTCCGTGAGGGTAAGAACGGTTATATTACCACATACACACAACCAGTTTGTATTCATTTTATAAGAATAAAAATCTTTTCTATGTAATGGTCAGTGTGAATGAAAGTTGTTTTATTGCTAGAAGTAAATGTTGATTTTGTAAATCATTTTTTAATAGTTCATTCTTTCACAGGGTCATTTTCTATTATTTTTCTTTATATATGTTGGACTAAGGTCGATGTCCAGTCTGAAATTGATGTCTATTCCTCAAATCTGTCCAATCTGAAGTCATTATGAAGTAAGATTTCTCTTATGTCTGTTTGTCCAATAAAAATTTGGTTTTTATATGACCGCAAAATCGTATAATGCTATGATGTCGTTGTTGTCAGAAGACACATTTGGTTTCCGGACAATAACTTAGTTTAAGTGAATGGATCTCTATGAATTTTTACCAGAAGGTTCAATACCACAAAAGGAAGGTTGGGATTGATTTTGGGGGTGATGGTACCAACAGTTTAGAAATTAGGGGCAGAAAAGGGTCCAAAAACAAGCATTTTTGCAGTTTCCGGACAATAATTTGTGTGTAAGTGTATGGACCTCTCTGAAATTGTACCATAAGGTTCCACAAAGGGAAGGCTGGGATTGAGTTTGGGGTTAATTGCCAAAATTTGGGGGGATTTTTTTTCCAATTTTGGGGGGGGGGGGGGTCATTTTTGAAATCTTCAATTGCACAGTATTGCGCAATAGCAAGAAATATTCAATTGCATAGTATTGCTCAATAGCACAGTATTGGGCAAAAGCAAGAAATTTTCAATTGCACAGTATTGCGCAATAGCACAGTATTGTGCAATATCACAGTATTGCGCAATAGCAAGAAATCTTCAATTGCACAATAGCACAGTATTGCACAATAGCAAGAAATCTTCAACTGCACAGTATTGCGCAATAGCAAGAAATCTGCAATTGCACAGTATTGCGAAATAGCAAAAAAAATTTCAATTGCACAGTATTGCGCAATAGCAAGAAATCTTCAATTACATAGTATTGGGCATTAGCACAGTATTGCACAATAGCAAGAAATCTTCAATTGAAAACAAATACAAATGTTTTAACCAATTTCGATAGGATTAATTAAGTCTTTAATTTTTGGGATTCTAACCTTGAATAATTTTTTTGATATTGGGCTCCATTTTTAAATTAGTCTACATTGAGGTCAAAAGGGTCCAAAATTAAACTTTGTTTGATTTCATCAAAAACTGAATTATTGCGGCTGTATGATTTGCTGAATCTTATTGTGCATTTAGATTTTTATTTTGGGCCCTGTTTTCAAATTAGTTCATATTAAGGTTTGAAGGATCCCAAATTAAACTTTGTTTGATTTCAACTAAAATTAAATTACTGGTGTTCTTTAAATGCTGAATCTAACCATGTTGTTAGATTTTGGATATCAGACCATTCTAGGTAAATTAAATGTCCCATTTCAAATTTTTAAGATCTTTGACCACATTTATTTTGTGTCCGAAACCTATATTATGTCAAAAATTTGATCACAATCCAAATTCAGACAGTATCAAGCTTGAATATTTTGTCCACTCAGCGAAGCATTTTATTTGATTTATTGTTTAATCATGACAAGTTACAGATTAAGTTGTTTTTTTTGTCATGCTTGAAGATATTGATTTGATATTTGTTATATAGTTTACACCATGACAAGTTATAGATCAAGTTAGCATTTTGTTCCAGTACAACAAATTTTTAACCGGTAGGGGACTATGTATTGCCAGGCAATACACACAGAATGCTTGTTGATTTTCAATTTTGACTTGTTTAACTTTTTGTAAAAAGAAAACCTATTACCTTACTAAGACATGATATTTTTAACTGACATGTCTATGGTGGTACTTCTTAATGTTGCATATTTTGCAGAGAAGCAGCAACCAATGATCCTCAGCACTCTAGACTTTGACTTGGATGAGGTGTCTTACCTGGTATAGATATGTAATCTGAGCTCTAGGTTGTGACTTGGATAAGGTGTCTACCTGGTATTAATATGTAATCTGAGCTCTAGGTTTTGACTTGGATAAGGTGTCTACCTGGTATAGATATGTAATCTGAGCTCTAGGCTTTAACTTGGATAAGGTGTCTTACGTCCTGGTATAGATATGTAATCTGAGCTCTAGGCTTTGACTTGGATGAGTTGTCTATCTGGTATTAATATGTAATCTGAGCTCTAGGTTTTGACTTGGATAAGGTGTCTAAAGTCACAGTACCCAAATTGCACCGAGTACCCAAATTGCACCTATTCAACAGAAATAGCTGCGGAAATCTTACAAGATTTCTTTGAGACTAAACAATTTGTATTTTTATGAGTTGACATTTTACATGTATTTCAACATAGCTGAATATATTTAAATATACACAAAACGTTCACAGTTAATATCAACAAATGAAGCATTCACTTGAAAAAGTAAATCTACGGAAACGTCACCATGCGACGTTCTCAAAAAGTCATCTGTTAAAAATTAGAAAATTAAATATGTTACAAGCATCCATTTCTTAATAAATGAATAGTAAGCATGGACTAATGTCAAGTTGTTCTAAATATTTGAAGAAATGGAACAAAACATCTTGTTATTCAATTTTTAAGGGTGTGAATTTAAGCATGGATGCAATTTGGGTACTCCTCATTACGGAATCCTGGATCGTTTGGAGGTCGGTTCAAACCCATTTGTCTATGATTCAATATGGTTTCAAAATTAAATTGATGTTACTATATAATTAATAAGGATACATCTTCAAAATAAACATAAAATGGAAACTTTTGTCAGGATCATAAAAAAAGTAGGCTAAAAAACTGTCACAATAGGTGCAATTTGGGTACCTTCACGTTACCTGGTATAGATATGTAATCTGAGCTCTAGGTTTTAACTTGGACAAGGTGTCTTACCTGGTATAGATATGTAATCTGAGCTCTAGGCTTTGACTTGGATAAGGTGTCTACCTGGTATAGATATGTAATCTGAGCTCTAGGTTTTGACTTGGATAAGGTGTGTACCTGGTATTAATATGTAATCTGAGCTCTAGGCTTTGACTTGGATAAGGTGTCTACCTGGTATAGATATGTAATCTGAGCTCTAGGTTTTGACTTGGATAAGGTGTCTACCTGGTATTAATATGTAATCTGAGCTCTAGCCTTTGACTTGGATAAGGTGTCTACTTTGTATTAATATGTAATCTGAGCTCTAGGTTTCGACTTGGATTAGGTGTCTACCTGGTATTAATATGTAATATAAGCTCTAGGCTTTGACTTGGATAAGGTGTCTACCTGGTATAGATATGTAATCTGAGCTCTAGGTTTTGACTTGGATAAGGTGTCTTACGTCCTGGTATAGATATGTAATCTGAGCTCTAGGCTTTGACTGGGATAAGGTGTCTACCTAGTATAGATATGTAATCTGAGCTCTAGGCTTTGACCGGGATAAGGTGTCTACCTGGTATTAATATGTAATCTGAGCTCTAGACTCTGACTTGGATAAGGTGTCTACCTGGTATTGATATGTAATCTGAGCTCTAGGCTTTGACTTGGATAAGGTGTCTACCTGGTATTAATATGTAATCTGAGCTCTAGACTTTGACTTGGATAAGGTGTCTACCTGGTATTTATATGTAATCTTTAGCTCTAGGCTTTGACTTGGATATGGTGTCTACCTGGAATTGATATGTAATCTGAGCTCTAGGCATTGACTTGGATAAGGTGTCTACCTGGTATTAATATGTAATCTGAGCTCTAGGCTTTGACTTGGATAAGGTGTCTTCCTGGTATTAATATGTAATCTGAGCTCTAGGCTTTGACCGGGATAAGGTGTCTACCTGGTATTGATATGTAATACATTGTAGAAACAAAAATGACATCATAAACACAGGACATATTTTCAAAACTATGAATATTCATGGAATGGTGCAACTTTGTAGGTTGACTGGATCAACTTTTTCAATATGCATAATCTTAAGGTCCATATATTCTTCTTGTCTTGTTGTCATTTATCTGTTATCTATGATGAGTTTATTTACCCCATATTTTGTCATTTTACTTTGTTGTTCATTTTTGCTGGGTCTTTTTCACGAGTCTTCTTCAGTCACCATATTACATGTTGTCTATTCAGGCAAAATAAAACAATAACAAAAAATCAATTCAGAACTTTAAACATATGTTTATGAATTTGGTGTTGATAAGATTAGACTGTGTCAGACTTCATTCATACATGATGTTAAAATAAGACTTGGATTTGATGATTAGAGATAATAAGAAATAAGACGTCGATCTGAGTCTTAACATATATTTAATATTCAGTGATAGAATTTTAAAATAAAACAAGGTACAAGGCTCTTAAATGTATAAAATTCCTTGCTATTTATAAGCAATTTTTTTTTACAAATATTCATGTAAATCATAAAAGCAGGCACTTTTGATTAATATAAGTTTTCTTCATCAAAAGATCGAGCTAAATTTTGTAAAATAATTGTGAAGCAATTCCTAAAGGGAGCAATTAGTAAAATTATGTTAGTATTGGACATAAAATATTGGGAAAATGGTTTATTAGTTTTTCCATTAACTATGCTATTTTAAGATCTAAAAGGAAATATTTATGAATATACTTTTTTATAGTATGTATATACCTACAGACTTTTACTTGTCTTATTAAGCACTATTAGAAATTAATAATTAGATAATCATTGAAATAAAATAATGAAGCTTGAAGTTGAAATAATTTAGGGCATTATTTAAACTTTACTTAAGATTTTGTTGCTAGGCAACTCTTACAGACTTAGACTACCAGTAACATATGTACGGTAATCAATAGAAGCTTAGTTTCTATGGTAGTCAATCTCCTTCTGCATTATGTTTTATCATTCATAAAGCTCATGTTTTGTTCTCCTGGGTGTAGTAGGAAAGAAGAATTTTGTGTATGTTAGTTCAGGAAAAAAAATAGTTTAATCTCAGATGATGTTTATATTGACAATTGCAACACAGGAAGAGCTTAAAAATATTTTCATTCCATCAGTCAAACTAAGAACATGTTAAAATCTGACTTGTGATACATGTCCTGTAATACCTGAAGCCATAAGATAACAGGTAGAAGAAATGTGTAGTGTATTCTTCTGCTTTAACCAAGATGTGAATTTTAACAATTCAAAAATGTTGATATTTAATTTATAATTTCAATTTGGAAAGGCCAGAAAAAAAGAATATTTAAAAAATAATGTTTTAATCTTAATCTATAGTTAGTTCTTGGGATTAAAATTATTTTAAAGCACATTTGAAAATGTACTTTCAATTCAGTCACACAAATTTCCTCATGATTTTGCAAGTACAAAACGTCTATGTAACTGCACTATGTATTCACAATTCAACACCTTTTTCCTAATGACAGCAAAAGGTCAATTGCATAAAAAGGTATAACAATAAGAAACTAAGAATCATCAATACTTTTAAGATCTTTTCCTTTGAAATTAACATATTTTTTTCCAATCTCAGGAGTTAGAGAGATATTAAGAACAAAAGTGTTTGTATATTTATGTTTGATAGTGCTATAATGTCTGGTGCAGGATATATGTATATGATGTTGCTTTGTTGTATGTGTTATCCTATTGTTGTAATAAAACCTAAAAAATCTTAAGAAAATAAAAGGATAGAAATTTATCTTGTCATTTAATAAAACATGCATTTTTTGTTGGTTGGTCTGTCAAGTCTTGTGGGCAACTTGGGTATATACACTGGAAAATAACTTTTCATATAAACATTGCATATGCTGAATCATTTTTGTTGCCCCTTTTAGTTTTGTGTATAATTAAGTGGACATAATTCAGATATTTATCAAATATGTAGTAAACCAGTTTAAAAGGATCACCCTCACACACACATTCCTAAGATAACTTCAATTTGGATATTTGAGTTGTCATTTAAGTGTGGCTGTCTTTGGGTTGCCAATGGGATGGACAAACAAAGATTTGAGTGTTTGACACATGGTAAGTTTCCCTTAGTTAAAATATTCCACAGCACCAAGTTATCACAACCTTTAAGAAACTTATTTAAAACTAAAGTTATTCAAAATCAAATACACTGTGGATTCATTTACTTTTGTGATTATAGGTGAACCATGAATTTTAATGTCCAACGAAGTGCAAAATGTTGATGGGCTTTTATACAGACTCTCGCAAAACCATGAAATCAAATATCCATGAAAATTGGTACCCACGCTAATAATGAATTCAGTTCTTTATGTCTTAATTCCCATAAATATAATGTGTCAATTTAATAAACAATAAAAACATTAATAAGGTCCTTTATATACCATCATAAATATCCATTACTTTTAAATATACCAGTATAGGTTAGAGTTCACTTTAAGAAATAGAGAATAAGGTCACTGAAAATTCACTGAATCCTTAACATAGCTACGAATACCTGATCGTAAAGACGGAAAAGTACAAGCTATATAAATTAAAATTGTTCAGTTGATTGCAATGGGATGTACATTTGTGATCCTTTTTAAAAATTATCATTGATGACCCTTAACACCTTCAAATATGGCCACTATTGTTTCTAAAATAAAATTCTGAAAAACCATGTGACTAATTAAGTCTCCCAAACGAAGTTTGGGAAGACTTATTGTTTTTGCTCAGTTCTTATTAAGTCTCCCAAACGAAGTTTGGGAAGACTTATTGTTTTTGCTCAGTTCTTATTATTATTATTATTCTTCTTCCTCTTCCTCTTCCTCTTCCGCCGCTTTTAAATTTGAACTTGTCCGCACCCGTTCTCCAAAACCGCTTGTCAGATTAACTTGGGGTTTCACAATATGTTAGACTAACATGTCTAGTGGTGCAATCAGGGTTTTGTTTGTGCAATGGGGTTTATTAAGGGGTACTTTGAGGGGCAAAAAGAAAAGAGGGTTTTACTATAGAACCCTATGGGATTTTATTTTTTTAAATTTTCAAATGATTATAAATTGAAAACCGTTTGTAATAGACACAATCTTTTTAATTGAAAATGTTCTAAATGATAAAACCCATTAAATGAAATACAGGGTTAGTCCCCAGGGGTCATCCCCACCCCCTGCCATTTAAGAAAGTTCTAATACCTTGTAAGTGGTCAAGATCCCCACCCCTAAACCATATATATTCTGGTTTGTCATGCTAAGATGGTTTGAATGATATACAGGGTTAGTCCCCAGGGGTCATCCCGACCCCCTGCCATTTGAGAAAGTTCTAATATCTTGTAAATGGTCGAGATCCCCACCCCTAAACCATATATATTCTGGTTTGTCATGCGAAGATGGTTTGAATGATATACAGGGTTAGTCCCCAGGGGTCATCCCGACCCCCTGCCATTTGAGAAAGTTCTATTATCTGGTAAGTGGTCAAGATCCCCACCCCTAAACCATATATATTCTGGTTTGTCATGCTAAGATGGTTTGAATGATATACAGGGTTAGTCCCCAGGGGTCATCCCGACCCTCTGCCATTTGAGAAAGTTCTAATATCTTGTAAATGGTCGAGATCCCAACCCCTAAACCATATATATTCTGGTTTGTCATGACAAAGCACATGAAATGAAATACAGGGTTAGTCCCCAGGGGTCACCCCCACCCCATGCCATTTAAGAAAGTTCTAATATCTTGTAAGTGGTCAAGATCCCCACCCCTAAACCATATATATTCTGGTTTGTCATGCTAAGATGATTTGAATGATATACAGGGTTAGTCCCCAGGGGTCATCCCGACCCCCTGCCATTTGAGAAAGTTCTAATATCTTGTAAATGGTTGAGATCCCCACCCCTAAACCATATATATTCTGTTTGTCATGATAAAGCAAATCAAATGAAATACAGGGTTAGTCCCCAGGGGTCATCCCCACCCTATGCCATTTAAGAAAGTTCTAATATCTTGTAAGTGGTCAAGATCCCCACCCCTAAATCATATATATTCTGGTTTGTCATGCTAAGATGATTTGAATGATATACAGGGTTAGTCCCCAGGGGTCATCCCGACCCCCTGCCATTTGAGAAAGTTCTAATATCTTGTAAATGGTCGAGATCCCCACCCCTAAACCATATATATTCTGGTTTGTCATGATAAAGCAAATCAAATTAAATACAGGGTTAGTCCCCAGGGGTCATCCCCACCCTATGCCATTTAAGAAAGTTCTAATATCTTGTAAGTGGTCAAGATCCCCACCCCTAAACCATATATATTCTGGTTTGTCATGCTAAGATGGTTTGAATGATATACAGGGTTAGTCCCCAGGGGTCATCCTGACCCCCTGCCATTTGAAAAAGTTCTTATATCTTGTAAATGGTCGAGATCCCCACCCCTAAACCATATATATTCTGGTTTGTCATGCCAAGATGATTTGAATGATATACAGGGTTAGTCCCCAGGCATCACTAATGCATATAACTTTACTGGACCAAACTAATTTTCACTGGACTTTGCCCAATGTCAGGCGACCCTGGGAATTACGAATTATGGGAGCTTCGTTTGGGAGACTTCGTAACAGCATCCTGTTACAATCATTTCTTGTTATTATTATTATTCTTCTTCCTCTTCCTCTTCCTCTTCCGCCGCTTTTAAATTTGAACTTGTCTGCACCCGTTCTCCAAAACCGCTTGTCAGATTAACTTAGGGTTTCACAATATGTTAGACTAACATGTCTAGTGGTGCAATCAGGGTTTTGTTTGTGCAATGGGGTTTATAAAGGGGTACTTTGAGGGGCAAAAAGAAAAGAGGGTTTTACTATAGAACCCTATGGGATTTTATTTTTTAAAATTTTCAAATGATTATAAATTGAAAACCGTTTGTGATAGACACAATCTTTTTAATTGAAAATGTTCTAAATGATAAAACCCATTAAATGAAATACAGGGTTAGTCCCCAGGGGTCATCCCCACCCCCTGCCATTAATGAAAGTTCTAATACCTTGTAAGTGGTCAAGATCCCCACCCCTAAACCATATATATTCTGGTTTGTCATGCTAAGATGGTTTGAATGATATACAGGGTTAGTCCCCAGGGGTCATCCCGACCCCCTGCCATTTGAGAAAGTTCTGATATCTTTAAATGGTCGAGATCCCCACCCCTAAACCATATATATTCTGGTTTGTCATGATAAAAGCACATGAAATGAAATACAGGGTTAGTCCCCAGGGGTCACCCCCACCCCATGCCATTTAAGAAAGTTCTAATATCTTGTAAGTGGTCAAGATCCCCACCCCTAAACCATATATATTCTGGTTTGTCATGCTAAGATGGTTTGAATGATATACAGGGTTAGTCCCCAGGGGTCATCCCGACCCCCTGCCATTTGAGAAAGTTCTAATATCTTGAAAGTGGTCAAGATCCCCACCCCTAAACCATATATATTCTGGTTTGTCATGCGAAGATGGTTTGAATGATATACAGGGTTAGTCCCCAGGGGTCACCCCCAGCCCCTTCTATTTAAGAAAGTTCTAATATCTTGTAAGTGGTCAAGGTCCCCACCCCTAAACCATATATATTCTGGTTTGTCATACCAAGATGGTTTGAATGATATACAGGGTTAGTCCCCAGGGGTCACCCCCACCCCCTGCTATTTAAGAAAGTTCTAATATCTTGTAAGTGGTCAAGATCCCCACCCCTAAACCATATATATTCTGGTTTGTCATACCAAGATGGTTTGAATGATATACAGGGTTAGTCCCCAGGGGTCATCCCGACCTCCTGCCATTTGAGAAAGTTCTAATATCTTGTAAATGGTCGAGATCCCCACCCCTAAACCATATATATTCTGGTTTGTCATGATAAAGCACATCAAATGAAATACAGGGTTAGTCCCCAGGGGTCACCCCCACCCCCTGCCATTTAAGAAAGTTCTAATATCTTGTAAGTGGTCAAGATCCCCACCCCTAAACCATATATATTCTGGTTTGTCATGCGAAGTTGGTTTGAATGATATACAGGGTTAGTCCCCAGGGGTCACCCCCAGCCCCTTCTATTTAAGAAAGTTCTAATATCTTGTAAGTGGTCAAGATCCCCACCCCTAAACCATATATATTCTGGTTTGTCATACCAAGATGGTTTGAATGATATACAGGGTTAGTCCCCAGGGGTCACCCCACCCCCTGCTATTTAAGAAAGTTCTAATATCTTGTAAGTGGTCAAGATCCCCACCCCTAAACCATATATATTCTGGTTTGTCATACCAAGATGGTTTGAATTATATACAGGGTTAGTCCCCAGGAGTCATCCCGACCTCCTGCGATTTGAGAAAGTTCTAATATCTTGTAAATGGTTGAGATCCCCACCCCTAAACCATATATATTCCTGTTCACCATTTCTCAAACATTTGAATGATGTGTACGGTCAGTCCCCACTGGGTTCCCCCCACCCCCAATGTTCTAATATCTTGCAAATGGTTGAGATCCCCACCCCTAGACCATATATATTCCTGTTCGTCGTTTCTCTAACATTTGAATGACGTATAGGGTCAGTCCCCAGGGGTTCCCCCCACCCCCAATGTTCTAGTATCTTGTAAATGGTCGAGATCCCCACCCCTAAACCATATATATTCTGGGTTGTCATGCCAAGATGATTTGAATGATATACAGGGTTAGTCCCCAGGCATCACTAATGCATTAACTTTACAGGACCAAACCAATTTTCACTGGACTTTGTCCAATGTCAGGCGACACTGGGAATTACGAATTATGGGAGCTTCGTTTGGGAGACTTCGTAACAGCATCCTGTTACAATCATTTCTTGTTTTAAATTGCTTCCATACTATAATTGGATATCACATTAATAATTCACTTTTAGCTTGTTCTATATTCAATGTATGCAATGTTATGCAAGATATATATACCCCATTCGAAAGTGACTACTAGGAAGATCTGAGAACTGCTTACATGGTGCAAACTCAACAATTGGAAGTTCCAGACATAGTATCAATTAATTCCTTTTAAAATATAATCTGATTTAATAGGTTTGGAAAGAAACACCATACTGACAGGTTGACAGACAAGGTGAATATAGTACACCTCGTACAATGTAATTGGGTGTAGAATAATATAATATACATATATATGCTTAATACTCAAATACACACACTCCACAATGACTAATCTTTGAAAAATTATATAAAGGTTTTGAGGAACAAGAAGTGAAGTCAGAAATATTGGTCATATTTAATAATCTATAAACAGCACTCCAGTATAAACAATGAATTTAAATGTCTTATTCCATTGCTTTCTGTACAGCTGTGTAACAGTCTATAGCAACTTGGGCTTCAGCTTTACCAACCTCTGTTGAAGCTGCTGCTAAATCTGCCTGAGCTTTATGTAATCCATCTCTAACAGCCTACAAAATATACAATAGTCATCTTCAATTTCATAATTTGAAAACATTTAAAAGTGCTTTATAGCTATTACAGAAACAAATATTCAAGAAGTTGTATGTTTTAAATAATTACTGGTCTATGAACAGTTACCTAAAAAAAATTAAGTTTTTTCTCCAATACTGTTTTACAGAAACTCTATATGGAAATATTTTTGTCATATATGAATGGTTTCCAAAATGTTAGGTTCAGCATCATTGTCTTGATCTTCAAATCCTCTTAATTTCAAGGAAAGCCTGTAACTGGTGTGACTATTTTTGTGGTATTTTATTGGTAAAAGGAACAGTCATCCTCACTTGTCAATCTATTTACTACATGACAAAATTGTCCACCACTTCAATTGAACATTTTTTATATCAAAAGCAAAAAGTAAAAGTTGTGTACATCAAATGAATCCAAAATACTGTTGTTATTAATTCAGAAAACTTCTTTCTTTTTGTCTTTTCCTTGACGGAGTCAAAAAACGAGACATAGGTATGCTGTTTCCGGCATAGGCGGCGCTGTCAACAATGCATCAGTTTGTGATTAGGTCTAGTTTATGGTGAACCACCAGTGGTAGGTCAATGATATTTGGTATGCAGTTATATTAGCATTGGCACATCTCATTAGTATGGAGATTATTTGGCCCAACCCCCTCAGTCTTGGTCTATTGACTTTCAAACCTTTGCTTAGTTTACATGTATTAGTTTGTGATTAGGTCAGTTTCAGGGGAACCACTAGTGGTAGGTCAATGATATTTGGTATGCAGTTGTATAAGCATTGGCATATCTCATTTCCATGGAGATTATTTGGCCATGCCCCCTCAGTCATTGTCTACTGACTTTGAAACTTTTGCTTAGTTTACATGTATTAGATTGTGATTAGGTCAGTTTATTGGGAACCACTAGTGGTACGTCAATGATATTTAGTATGTAGTTGTATAAGCATTGGCACATCTCATTTCCATGGAGATTATTTGGCCCCACCCCTCCAGTCATGGTCTTTTGACTTTTAAACTTTTGTTTAGTTTACATGTATTAGTTTGTGATTAGGTCAGTTTATGGGGAACCACTTGTGGTAGGTCAATGATATTTGGCATGCAGTTGTATAAGCATTGGCACATCTTATTTCCATAGAATATATTTGGCCCTACCCCCGCAGTCATGGTTCATTGAATTTGAATATTTTTCATAACTTACATGTTCAAGTATTGCTATTGTAACACTTGCATTTTACTATCAAAATAACAAAAAGGCGAGACATATCTCTGTTAACAGTTTATATAGATTTGATCTTGTAATAAAACTCAAGTTACTTGAAATCAACAAGTTAGATAGTATTGTATTGGCAGTAATATGGAATTATTTGCAAGCTTAAAGGGGCACTAGCTATGAGATATCTAAAAAATCTAAAATATGATTTTTTTTTGTTCAATCATTAATGAAAGTGAAATAGTGAAATAATAATTCGCTTTTAGCAGCCAGTATGGTTCAATTTTGTCACAATAAGCTAAAAACATTGATGATGAATTATTCACTTGCAAGTGAATAATTTGACCTCATTGAATCCGCATTCATGTGAACTTCAATTTAACCCCTTAGCTAGAGATAAATAACACATGAATTGTGCGTGTATAGTTATTTAAAGGAAAAGAATGTCAACATTGAAAGTGAAACAAAGGTAAATCATTTAATTGACTGGTTCGATCCAAAAAAAATCATTCTTATATAGGTAAAAACGATGATTAACATATATTTTTAATCTATAATATGAAATTAAACAGACCTAGAAGAATCCAATTGCACGAGTTCGCTATATCTATTTATATCTTTATTTATGTTTATATCACTTATATGACCATCAGAGGTCTTCGGAGGACAAATCGATAGTTAATTAGATGGCGTCTAGACTAAAATACACACGAAACGAAGCTACATATTCTTGTGCCCATGCCCTGTTAATTGTTTTTTTAGACTTTTTATAATTTGGATGAATGTTTTACGTTGTTATAAATCAAATGTGAGAGTTTGAGTCCAATCGGTGAACATGAATTTGACAGCTAGTGCCCCTTTAAAATACTGCTTCAATTGAAAATGGTAAGTTTAACAAAATCAAGGATGTCATGTCCCACACTTGTATTTAACTTAGTCAATGAGGTATAAAATGCAAGTGCGAGTAATCTAATTTGGTGAATGCTGCTAAATATCCCAAAATGATTCCTTGTATTACAAGATCTCAACTTGGACGAAAATTTCAATTGAGTCAATTAAGTGTATATTATAGTTCAGAATGACCAACTTTAAAATGTAAAGCTGTCATACTTCTCATCATAAACCTACTTATATTATCTCTCTTCAAAACTAAGAACTGACCTTAGAAATAAAACTTAAGAAAGTTTTAATCTTAATAACATGTTAAAGCCAACGAATGATGAATATGATTGTTGTGAACTTCATCTTAGCACATGGTTAGTCTCTTAAAGATGCATCTTCAAACCAAATAATATTGTTTTATGGGTTTTAGTTTCTGAGAAGTGGTTTGGACATGCACATTTGCCCAAGGGGTTCTCCAATAGCCTCTTCAACTTTCTTGAGGCAAATAAAAAATATATTTATGGACCAACCTACAATCTTAAACAGAAGATAAATGTCAAAATATACATCACTGGTAGTGAAAACAAGTTAGCTACTCTTTTTAGGTCCCTTTCATGATAAAGAAAATTAACTATGTTGTGAATTATTTTTTTGGGGTTCTGAGCATTCAAAAATAAAAATGAATCAAGAAAAGTCTTATATAACACAGTTGGTAAAGATTACTAACGTCTCTATCAAATCTGTCTATAGGATGAGCTTCTTCTGCTAGAACCTGTACTGATGAGTCTTTGTTTACTGTTACTGAACCACTACTCACTGTAAATATAACAAAAAAACATGTCAACCACAACTCAATGTTAATATAACCAAAACATGTCAACCACATCTCAATGTTAATATAACAAAAAAAAAACATGTCAACCACAACTCAATGTTAATATAACAAAAAAACATGTCAACCACAACTCAATGTTAATATAACAAAAAAACATGTCAACCACAACTCAATGTTAATATAACAAAAAACATGTCAACCACAACTCAATGTTAATATAACAAAAACATGTCAACCACAACTCAATGTTAATATAACCAAAACATGTCAACCACAACTCAATGTTAATATAACAAAAACATGTCAACCACAACTCAATGTTAATATAACCAAAACATGTCAACCACAACTCAATGTTAATATAACCAAAACATGTCAACCACAACTCAATGTTAATATAACCAAAACATGTCAACCACAACTCAATGTTAATATAACAAAAACATGTCAACCACAACTCAATGTTAATATAACAAAAACATGTCAACCACAACTCAATGTTAATATAACAAAAACATGTCAACCACAACTCAATGTTAATATAACCAAAACATGTCAACCACAACTCAATGTTAATATAACCAAAACATGTCAACCACAACTCAATGTTAATATAACAAAAACATGTCAACCACAACTCAATGTTAATATAACAAAAACATGTCAACCACAACTCAATGTTAATATAACCAAAACATGTCAACCACAACTCAATGTTAATATAACCAAAACATGTCAACCACAACTCAATGTTAATATAACAAAAAACATGTCAACCACAACTCAATGTTAATATAACAAAAAACATGTCAACCACAACTCAATGTTAATATAACAAAAAACATGTCAACCACAACTCAATGTTAATATAACCAAAACATGTCAACCACAACTCAATGTTAATATAACCAAAACATGTCAACCACAACTCAATGTTAATATAACAAAAAACATGTCAACCACAACTCAATGTTAATATAACAAAAAACATGTCAACCACAACTCAATGTTAATATAACAAAAACATGTCAACCACAACTCAATGTTAATATAACAAAAACATGTTAAGTAACAAGACTCTAAACAAAAGTATTAATACAAGATTTTGCTAAAATCTATCAAAACTCATGTAACGAGCAATTGTTATAAAAATAAACTAGAGGCTCTAAAGAGTATAATTTGAAAGATAACAGGCAAAGATAAATTTCATGATTTAAAGGTAATTACTCCTATTAGAAGTTGTCTCACAGTTTTGATGTTAATGCACAGTACATGTAGGTAGATTTCAACAATCTGTATATTTCTGCTCCTGTCAGGTTTTCTCTATCCTTAGTGGTTTTCTTGATAATAAACAAAACTTGTTCTAATTATACTACAGCGTCTTATTTTTATAATGATTATCAGAAACATTTTTTTTTCAATTTAGATGCCCAATGATGATTGTGGCCAAGTTTGGTTCCAATTGGCCCAGTAGTTTCAGAGGAGGAGATTTTTCTAAAAGTTCAAAGACGACAACAGACAACAGAGGCCAAGTGATGAGAATAGCTCACTTGACCCTTTATCCAAAATTGTATCAGCTTTCAAAATATTTTTGAATTTAAGGAATTTTTGAATTTCTGAATAAACTTAAAATAACTTTTTGTTCAAGACAAGAAAATTAAATTAAATTCTACAGGAAGAACTGGTAACGCTTTTAAATGTTTACACAAGCTTCAAATTCTAGTAATTCAAACACCAGTAAGATTTTGAAAAATAAAAATAATGGAATTAAGAGATAGGTTTCGATATTATGTAATATGAGTTTGAGTTATTTCCCTTGTATATTTTTGTATAGTTGACCTAAGAAATTTTAACTAATTATCCATCCCAGATGAATTTATTTTTGACCATTTCTAACATTCTGCAACAAATATAAGCCATATAAGAAACTTTCACTAAACGCTGAATATGTCTAGATCTTCACCAAATGATGTAAAGTTAAGACACATATTCAGATTGAATCTTAGCGCACATAGCATTTGATGACAAGGCATCTGTCCAAAAGTGAGAATTTACTTATAGAACCAAGAACCAGATATTCCAACTTTAATATTGCTTTCATGCAAATGTACTTGGAATTTATATGATTTAATGTTAGTTGTATGCCAGTAAAAAAATCAACAAACCAAAGAATTTCTTTTTCTCTCCATTTTCCTCAGTGACAATAACAACTCCTGGTTGGAGCACTGCTATTGTTGGTACATGGTTTGCAAGAATTCCAAAACTTTGATTAGTAGCTGGTACATCTACTTGTTGTATATTGGCATTGGCATAGTACAACTGAAACACATAAATGATAACAATAATTTGGATTTGTTGTTTTATCAGTAGTATGCATTGATCAGGATAACCATCTTAGTTTTCTCCATTAGCATCCAGATTTTTTGATTAAATTTTTTTATTTTTTCAAATTTTAATTGAACCCAATTTTATATATGATAATCACTAATACTTAGGAACTGGCCGAGGTGGTGAGTGATATTTGGTATAATAGGTTTTACCATTCCACTTAAAATGAGGTGAAAAGGTTGAAATACTCTTGTTTTTGAGTGCAGATTGTGATTTATAATATAAATTTGTTTAGGGGTTGGGATTTTCATTGTTTAGCATATTGAAATAGCACAAAAAATGCAATATCAGTAGCGGATCCAGGGGGTGTTCCGGGAATTGAAACCCCACCTTTTTGTTTGACAACTAATGCTTTTGTATGGGGATATGGTTACAAGAGCGCAATTATTAGTAATGCATTTTCCATAGGGTACCAGTGTTCTGTATTTTTTTTCTCGAAGACTACACAAACTAGGGAAAAACGAGTAGCAGTTCCTGTTACCATGGTTACTCGAAATGCCAGTGTTGCATTACAAGCAAAAAAATATATATGGTCATGCGGCAAAAATTGACTTAAAATGCAGTTGAAAAAGATCGTCTATTTTTTTCGCTTAATGAAAAAGGCATATTTTAAATGGCCCTGACATGCAGAAATGGAAGATATTTTCTATACTTTGCAAAATGTGAATTTGATTTTCTGGATTTTTGAAACCTAATTGGATAAGCTTTCAATTAAAAGTAATTCCAATTCTGTATCATCCAATCAGAAGCCGTAGAGGATTCTATTCTGAGTACCATCTTGGGGTAAAAAACTTGCTGGTAAAATGTAAACAAATAATTGCGCTCTTGTAACCTATACAGTAATGCAAAAAAATTTTCTAAAATTAAGTGCAAAAAATTTGAACTGATTTTTTTACCAAATAAGGTACTGTTAAAAAAGACATGAAGATAATGTTTATTTACTGCCCTAATTTTTCAAAGGTCATCCAGCACTTATCATATTGCCGACAAAACCGTTCTGATATAGAAAAGCTACATAGAATTTTGAAGAATGGCTTTAAATGAAATCATTTCTTGAAAAAATACGTTTTTGAAACAGACTATAGTTTTTCCAGATTTCAAATATATGATATTATTAATACTTTGGCAAGAAAAACTATTCTTGAACTTCAATATTCAATGCCAAGATTAATTTTTCTACTTTACAATTTAACTAAATCGTTGGTGTTTGCTTAGGGGCATTTTTTGCCAATTTTCACCAAATTTGCTTTTTGCTAGAATAGCAACTGAGCCACGATCATTATGTTTAAAAACCAAAATGTATCTCCAAATTCAAGATATATACATGCTTTTCCCAATAAAAACAGTAGATATCACAAAAAGGTTCTATTCTCTTTATACTGTGTCGACATTTGAGCCCACCATAGTTTCAAATATGGAATTCTATACAAATAGGAAACAGACTATAGCTTGAATGCACATTGATGAAAAGTCCATTTGACCCCATTAATTACCGTTTCACATTTTTTCCAAGCAAAATGACTATTTTTAACATTTTTCAAAGCCTTATTAAAAAAAAATGTCATTTTCCTATAGGTTACAATCTTGAGTGCAATTATTCGTAATGCATTTTCCACAGGGTACCAGTGGTGTTCCGTATTTTTTTTCTTGAAGGCTACACAAACTAGGGAAAAACAGGTAGCAGTTCCTGTTACTAGAAATGCCAGTGTTGCATTACAACCAAAAAAATATATATGGTCATGCGGCAAAAATTGACTTAAAATGCAGTTGAAAAAGATCGTCTACTTTTTTCGCTTAATGAAAAAGGCATATTTTAAATGGCCCCGACATGCAGAAATGGAAGATATTTTCTATACTTTGCAAGATGTGAATTTGATTTTCTGAATTTTTTAAACCTAATTGGATTAGCTTTCGATTAAAAGTAATTCCAATTCTGTATCATCCAATGAGAAGCCGTACAGGATTCTATTCTGAGTACCATCTTGGGGTAAAAACCTTGCTGGTAAAATGAAAACAAATAATTGCGCTCTTGTAACCATATATGGTTGGAACCACCCCCTTTTTATATGACTTGCATGTGTTGGAACCCCCTTTTAAAAATGGCTGGATCGGCGCCTGACATTCATGAGCTTTATTGACATTTTAATGTCCTTATTTTTTGTTCCCTCAGAAGGTGCCAAAATAAACTAAGTTTTGAAAAATGCTTTTGAAAAATGTTCCCCTAAGGATTAATATTAGTTAGTTGTTTTGATTGATATGTACAATAGATGGACAATGGATATCTGCACAACCATATAAAGGTGATTAAAACTGTGTAAATGAGAGGACGTATCAAATGAAATTGAGCATTTGTTAATTTTGGCACCTTATAAAATGCATTTCAAACTTGTTTATCTAGTTCATGCCATGCCTTAACACTTTTTCAGGAGAACAGGTATGTCTGTAGTCAGAGTAAATTTTGTGGTGTGAACACAGCAATATTTTTCAATTCCTTCCAATCTTAAACTAAAGGCCCTCAAGAGCCTGTGTCGATCACCTGTATCTTTTGTGGTTTTGGAAATCATGTAAAATAAGGTTCAAATCATAATAAATAGTATTAGATACCCTAATAATGATTGAGACCAAGTTTGGTTTAATTTATCCCAGTAGTTAAATTAAAAGCAGGTCATCCCATTGTAGTCTTACAATAGTTACTGAAGACCCTTTATCATTATTTAAATTAATTTTCAAGTTGTGACCATTTGAAATTTGTTTTTTTACAATTTTCCCACAAACTTTTATCGTAAACCCCTATGTTCTAATTTTAGCCATGGCGGCCATCTTGATTGATGTGCGGGGTCATCAGATACATTTTTTAAACTAGATACCCTAAGGATGATTTAGGCCAAGTTTGGTTTAATTTGGCCCAGTAGTTTCAGAGGAGAAGATTTTTGTAAAAGATTACAAAAATTTACGAAAAATTGTGAAAAACTGACTTTAAAGGACAATAACTCCTTATGGGGTCAATTGACAATTTTGATCATGTTGACTTATTTTTAGATCTTACTTTGCTGAACAATTTTGCTGTCTACAGTTTATCTCTATCTATTACAAAACAAGGTATAATATTCAAGATAACCAAAAACTGCAAAATTTCCTTTAAATTACCAATTCAGGGCAGCAACCCAACAACGGGTTGTCTGATGCGTCTGAAAATTTCATGGCAGATAGATTTTGACCTGATGAACATTTTCACCGTGTCAGATTTGCTCTAAATGCTTTAGTTTCAGAGATATAAGCCAAAAACTGCATTTGATCCCCATGTTCTATTTTTAGCCATGGTGGCCATCTTGGTTAATGGGCGGGGTCATCGGATACATTTTTTAAACTAGATACCGTAAGGATGATTTAGGCCAAGTTTGGTTTAATTTGGCCCAGTAGTTTCAGAGGAGAAGATTTTTGTAAAAGATTACAAAAATTTACGAAAAATTGACTTTCAAGGGCAATAACTCCTTATGGGGTCAATTGACAATTTTGATCATGTTGACTTATTTTTAGATCTTACTTTGCTGAACAATTTTGCTGTTGACAGTTTATCTCTATCTATTATAATATTCAAGATAATAACCAAACACTGCAAAATTTCCTTAAAATTACCAATTCAGGGGCATCAACCCAACAACAGGTTGTCTGATGCGTCTGAAAATTTCAGGGCAGATAGATCCTTACCTGATGAATATTTTTACCCCATGACAGATTTGCTTTAAATGCTTTTGTTTCAGAGATATAAGCCAAAAACTGCATTTTACCCCCATGTTCTATTTTTAGCCATGGCGGCCATCTTGGTTGATAGGCGGGGTCATCGGATACATTTCTTAAACTAGATACCCTAAGGATGATTTAGGCCAAGTTTGGTTTTATTTGGCCCAGTTGTTTCAGAGGAGAAGATTTTTGTAAAGGTTAACGGACGACGACGGACACCAAGAGATGAGAAAAGCTCACTAGGTCCTTTTTGGCCAGGTGAGCTAAAAATAAGATTTGTTATCTGTTATCTATACATATACAGATAATTTTATTAACCAATCAAGGTGCCCTTTGAAGGGCAGATTAATCACAATGTAATTATTCATAACATAATAAACAAACTAAACAATAAAGGTGCCCTTTGAAGGGCAGATTAATCACAATGTAATTATTCATAACATAATAAACAAACTAAACAATAATGGTTCATTAGAGTAATAATTGTATTGATTGTATGAAAAAAACACACTTTTAACTCAATCATTAAAAATATAGAAAGAAAAAAAAATGTAAACATTAGTGTATATATTTCTTTTTTTTATATTGAGGATATCCAGCTAGATTTGGACAAGGAGAGACAACTCCATCTATAAGTGTTGCTTTAATCCTTTACAATTTTTCATTTAGTTTTCTTCGTATACAAATTAGAATAAATTACTTTGCTGAGCGCAGCTGGATACGACTGCAGATGTCCAACCCTGAAAAGTTGGGGTCAAAAAAATAATGCTTTCCCTCAAGTTATGGTCAGTATCTCAGACAATCATCATTTCTTATTACATAATTTACAAGCAGTGTAAGGGAGGTAATCAAACGTTGTTATTTAAATTGATTTGGATTACCTCCCTTACACTGCTTTTAAATCGTCTCAATTGTCCTTTAACCAGAAAAACCCTTGTTTTTCCCCTTTTTTTGCCCCTAATTCCTAAATGGTTTGAGCCATAACCCCCCAAAGTCAATCCTAACCATCCCTTTGTAGTATGGAAACTTGTGGTATAATTTCAGAGAGATTCATACACTTTAACACAAGTTATTGTCTGGAAACTACAAAAATGCTTATTTGGGCCCCTTTTTTGGCCCCTAATTCCTAAACAGTTGGGACCATAACCCCCAAAATCAATCCCAACCTTCCTTTAGTGGTTATAAACCTTCTCTTAAAATTTTATTGATTTCTATTTACTTATACTAAAGTTATTATCCGTAAACCATCTGTCTTCGGACGACGCTGACGACGACGACAACGTGATACCAATATACGACCAATAAAACATCACAGGTCAGAGACAAAACAATATGGCTGTCTATGGTATGATGTAATTATATTTTTGACAAAATGGATCGATAATTATCATTTAAGGCAGGGTTTCTGCTGGCTGTCGCCATTTTTGCATTTTGCAAAAAATTTAAATTGTGGCGATTAAAATTCCTTATTGGCGAAAGAAATATAACATTCAACTTCGTCCATCTTGTTTACTTTTTCTCTGTCTTAATCCCTTATCAGACAATACTGGGAGAACACTTTGAACTCGTTACGATTTTGACAGAAAGTCAATAATCAGCTGATTGCATTTTATAGCTATCGGCAACAATGGACCAATTTACAAAGGTGCTGATTGTATTGTATAATGAAATGATGTGGTTAAATGGCATCACATGTCACTTTCAGGATTTTTTTTTTACAACTATGAATGATAGTTTTGAAGTGGATACTTCACAACTGTTTTAGCAACGCACGTGTTTAAAGCATAGTTTTACGTCTCCTCTTTTTCTTTTAACAATGTCGATGGCCTGGGAAAGAACTGTTGTTACAACGATAAATTTCAACTTTAGTCTTTATCCTCCAACTAGATGGGAAGTATCTGATCAACTTATTGAAGATGAATCCCATGTTTCCAAAAGTCAAAAATGATGATTTCATGATTTATATTGCAATTTACAGTAACTTTTAAAAAGTAAATGTTTGTCATTACTGAGTGTTTATTTAATTTATGTAGATTAAAAAATAGAAATGTAGAAATATAATAGACAACAAGGCTGCAAACTGATATTTTTTGTTAGAAAGAAGGAAAATTTTAAACGAAAAATGTTTAAGTTAGTCATGTTAGTTGGCGAAAAAAAATTGAAAGTGGCATAAAATATACTTTTTTGGCGAAAGAGGTGGCTAAAAAGAAAATTGACCCAGGGGAAACCCTGGTTTAACGTAAGGTATTTTCAAAATTTAAACTGATTCAGAAATGCTGATGTCTTCTTTTAATTCTTACCTGCTTTGGGTGTACAGAATGGTGCTATAGGTGTGAAATGCACCGGATCAAGGTGAGGTAGTTTATTAAAATTTTACCCAAGTAAAGTTAATAATAATAGGGCAGCCAATTAAGTCAGAAAAACGCTCGACACAGAATCCCTAAACTAAAGGGATTAGGTATCGCTCTTGACACGGGATGGTACTTTAAATCATCTCGCACGCAAAAACATATATTTTCTCACTTGTAATTAACTCACATGTACTTATAGGTGGCAACTGTTTATATAATTAATTAAATCAGATTTATTGACATTTACTTTAGCCGGTTCAAGGTTAAAAATTTAGCACTCAATTTCATTGAATACTTACTTCAGACGGACATGCAAAAGTTAATGCCATTTCAGCATATCCTCTGTGTTGTTGATGGGCAGCAGCTACTCTGCTACACTGCCTTAGTAAGTTTGTACTTCTAAAAACTTGCCGAAACAGTGCCATGGTTGTGGAAAGTATGGGCGGAAGCTGACCAAGGGAGACAACGAATTTTTGGTTGATCGAAATACCGTAAAAATAGTTTATCTTTTATAAGAGAAAACGGGCGTAATTTTGATACTTTGGAATTATTATTTGACATACCGTATCACCTAAATCGTTGGAATATGGGGTACTGGATTTTTTTTAGATATTAAAATAAGGAATTTCTAATTATGCAACTAAAACCAAACCGCTTATTGTATTTTACAAAAGTTAGAAAGAACAGTAAATGCCGGAAATCTCAGCATTGAATTAGGAATCATCTACTAGACTATCTAAACTTGCCATTTATCACCCCCTCATCCTTTTAAACCTTATCTATAGTCCACTTACATGGCACTTTTGCAGTGAACAAAACACCAAAAGATACAGAAAAGAATCGAAAAAATACAAGAACGCAGGAGCACTCAGATTTATTCACGACTACAAACATGACAAAAGCTCTTATACCACTCTTATAACACTCTACTGGAACAGTCTAAACTACCAGCACTAAACATCAGAAGGATGACAACCATAACATTAGAGGCATATAAAATAGTAAATAAATCCAGTCCGGATCAAACTATCAACCTTTGGCCAGTTCAACTGAAAATTTTATTTCCACTTGATTTTTTTTCTCAAAATTGTACCTGTAGCTCATGTAGGTAATGACATCTCTTGCTGCCTCAGAACTATTTTTTTTAAACCTGCTTGAGATTTATTTATACTTATTTATCTTTTTATATTTTAACTTGATATAAAATTGGTTGCTGTCTTTAGCTATAAATAATAAGCCGTCTTATTGTGCGTATGCTTAAACTGTGCTTTAGTTGCTTACATTCATATGCTTCTGTTTCTACTAGTGCTTTATTTTATTGTTTTTGCATGTGTGATGGCTGTTCAGTGGCAAAACACCCCTTTTTTTTACGATCAATGTTTTTGAATGGGGACATATAGTTGGAACCCCCCTTTTTTATCCCGAGTTGGAACCACCTTTTAAAAATGGCTGAATCCGCCCCTGGCTGTTGATATCTTATGTTTTTATTGCTTGTGTTTAGTGTGAATATGATTATCTTCTCTTTACATTACATGTGCTTTGTCTGTATTGATGCTTTTAATGCCCGTGTGTGTTAAATATATGTTGCTTTGCTTTATATGGTGCATGTACTCTGTATTTATTCATATGTGCTGCTTGAATTGTTTGTATGTGCTGTAAATGTATATGTTACTATTTAAATATTGATCCGGTTATATTATTATATATATCAGTCGGTTAAAAAGCTGTAAAGAGCTCATGTTCTATGTTGTGATTGTATATATGAAAACCCGGGCAGAGTTTTAATAAAGATCACTTAATTACTTTCTTACTTATTTACTTTAGCAACTAATATTTCAAGGTAATTATAAAAAAACTCAACTAAATAGTATAACTGTAAAGTGAATAAGTTGTAAAATCAATTCTATAATACGCCGCGACAGTCTTTATTGTCTCTGTTGGTGGTGATTTCACGTCACAGTGGCCTTGAATTTCCTTTGTTGGTTACGAATGTATGCATGGTAGTATTCCAGGGGCGGATCCAGCATTTTTTAAAAGGGGGGTTCCCAACCCAGGATAAAGGGGGGGGGTTCCAACTATATGTCCCCATTCAAATGCATTAATCGTCAAGAAAAAAGGGGGGTTCCAACCCCCGGAACACCCCCTCTGGATCCGCCACTGTATCCACGAAAATTAGTATAAGTATTATGGTGTTGTACTGATCGGAATTGTTACGTTTCTCTAACTAGAATACTGTTTATTTATTTGCTACGTTTATCGAATCGACTTTGTGTTTGACTGTCCAAATCAGCTATCAAAGATTCGATAGCCACCTTAATTATTACCGTCTTCGCAGATTGCCGAGTCATTTTATGGATAATGTAGCTGTCAATATCAATACGATATATATCATTGTATATAAAGAGAGCACCTGTTCTACATATGATAAAATGGTTCCTCTACAACCGACCTAGGTTTCCTTCGTAGATGGCATCCAAAGTAAAAAAAATAATAAAATATACACAAAGTAGTTTTAGGCAGTTCATACTAAGATCGGAAATTTGAATAATACCTAGCGATCTTTGATTGATTTTTTTCGCCGTGACTTTCCCCCATGCTAAACAAGTTTGACTACTAAAAGTAATTGGTTCCACATTTTCGGACTGACACCTCGGTTATTCTATATTATTGGGTTACGAACATATTCCATACATCAGAAACATATATACTTCATGTATATATATATATATATGTCTCTGCGTACATGTTTCATAGAAAAGGTACATTTTAAATATTGTAAAAAAAATTAATTGGTACTTTGATAGTTTAATTGATTGTTGGTGTTTAACTATATAATAAATTTTATTTTATTATTGTGTCACATACTGATTGAACATTATACAATGACATAATAAAAATATACATTAAAACAATCAGTACCCAGCCATAAGATTGGCTTATGAGACACATATCTACAAAACATTTCACATTTAAATATATATAAATATAACGCCGTTTGCAGCACTATTGGCGGTAAGTTTTTATTAGTTGAGGAAAACTAATAATACTAGACTGGAGTAGAACGCACCTGCCACGTGTGGTGTTCGAACTCACAATCTTAGTATTGACAGACTAGTGATACAATAGAAGAACTACTAAGACAATTTGGACACCGAGGCCGCTAGATACACGAAAACTAGCAAGATGTATTAAAATTAAAAATATTTTATCGTATTATTTACAATAAATTTAATTTTTTCCTACCGGAACACTTGAGAACCCCTCCGGTTTTTGCTGATCAGTGATGTTTCTTATGTAGTGTTTGTAGACTGTTTCTTTGGTCGTTTTTTTTCACGGTTTTGTTGCTCTCTCTTCGATTTCCGCCTCCGCAGATTTTTTTTTACAAATGGATTAGACGTTAAATTTGCCAGAACACATTTTGGTAAAGGGTGATAATGGAAACAAATAACAGAAAGCATGGCTTTCACTTAACAAGTGTAATGTTATCGCTTTCTTTAAAATAGAAAAGCAGCAATTTTGTGTTTCATTTCAAATGTTTTGATTTGAACAAAGTGCCATAAAGAATCAGACTCATTTTTTTCTACTAGCTATATTTATTAAAAAAAACTGAATAACATGCAGCAAAGATTAACGCTTACGAATTTAAGTCACAAATGTAAAATCATACAGACCTTATTCGGACATATACATCTACTGTGAATAACCGAAGAGGTCCGGCGCAAACATATACGAGTAAGTATGCAATAATCGAGAAAACCTATCCGAATCCCGAGGAGCAATTAATGAACAATGTGTAACAGTACCGTGGGGAAGTAAAATCTGGATTCGATTCCCACGGAACATAATTGGTTCCCATGGGAATACCGACTGTTTGTTGAAAAAAAAACGTCCTCCAATCTTAAAAATGGTTGTCAATCAAGAAATCATGCATCTTGATAATGTCTGTTTCAGAGTATGTTTTATGTCTTATTTGTATCAGAGTGTTATTATACAAAGTATGATTGGCCTCCCTTAAACAAGATATTTGTATTTGCGTTGGCCATTCTTTCTTATGAAACAAAATAATTCCAATTCTTTCAATTTGTCTTTGTGTTTGAAATAGGGAATATATATGTAATGTGTAGAAGTCAGATGGTTTTTTTTTATACTATTGCAAGATGAAAGAGACTTTAATTGTATGTGCTCTAACGGATCTTTTAAATTGTTTAGTATCTGCATCTTATTTACACCGCCCCAAAAGTAGGTACTTTCACAGTAATTCTGAAATACGACTGTGATTACTCTTAATAATGTGGAAAGATGTTTCATGGAGCACTTGGTAGACACAACATTATAACGTTATTTTTAAGGACACTTATGTAATTTGGTATTCAGTACAATGAAGGAAGATCCAGTTATTCACCTATAGTTGAAATTGCAAAGGAACACAAGATAGACCATGATGGTTCAGGATGTCCAATTTTGTCAGGGTAGTGGGTTTCCAAGTGAATTGTCAATACGTTATGAAGCAGCTAATAATGTGATTTTCACACAAACACGATGTTGTTCGGGACTTTATCTGGGGGAACAACATATTTGTCATGGAACTAGGACAGTTGCTTAGCAACATTAAATGATTTGGATGTAGCACGAGTATTCATAGACCCATTCAGGTTTTTTTTAATTCTAATTTGTATCACGGATCTCACAGTTTTAACTCATGTGGAATGGCTATCAACGTTTTCTTTTTCAAGTCTAGCACGCTGCTTTGCCATTTCAAATTGCTATCTACCATTTTTATCAAATATGTTCAGTTTCAAGTTTGCATTTTTTGAAACCCAAGAAATTACCGAATAAAGATTCCTCTAAAAACGGTTATCATTTTAGTTTCTGATATGTATCATGTGTTTACTATTTTTCGAACTCAGAATTGCTCATTGATTATGACAAACAAAAATCTATGACATTGAAGATGAATGGCTGTATGGTGGCATAGGGTAAATTTCGTTTCCATAATCTTTCTATTTTTGTTTTTATTCTATTGTCCAAAGATAAGAGATTTTTTCATTGATGAGTATATTTAAATGTTAAACAACTTGCCTCAAAAATAAATCAAAGCATCGTCGATGTTGTGATCCAGTCATATTCATAGCTAGTCTGATATTCTTTCTGACCATACTTTTTTCAATACTTTTTTCTCTTTTCATTTCCAATCTTACTGTAAAATTTCTATGTTTTTGTCAAAAGGTAGGAAATTTCGCAATATTGATGCAAATATTGATATATATATATTGATATTTCAATTTTAGACTCTGTCAGTTTTTTTTTTTTTTATAAATATTTGCAATTTAATGGTATTGAACAGAATGGAAAGGGAAATCGTCAAACTAGTAATATATGTTTTATATGCCATTAATAATGATTGGCTTAATAATTTCCAAAAAGAGGCCTTGGAAATGCACTTTCTCAACAACAAAAAATATTTAAAAAA